TGGGGTGCTCGTGCCTTTGTCCGCGATACCACTGCGGACAAGCTCTCCCCTCGCGCCATTCCTTGCGTCTTCCTTGGCTTTGTCCCTGACGCGCCTGGCTGGCAGTTTTACGACCTCGCCTCGCGCCGTGTCTTTGCATCTCAGGACGTCACCTTTGACGAGTCCGTCCCCTTTTACCGCCTCTTCCCCTACCGCACTGCTCCTCGCCCCCCCCCGCCGCTCTTCTCGCCCCAGGTCCTCCCCAGGTAGACCCCCTCCCCGCGCCAGGTCCTGCTCCTTCAGGTGTCTCTCAGGTAGACCCCCCTGCGCCTGCGCCTGTTGAGGTCACTGGTGACTCCGGTCCTGCTGCGAGTGGTGCTGTCCCTGGGGGTGCGGAGCTTGGGGGTGCTGAGTCTGGGGGTGCTGAGCGTGTGGAGCCTGGAGGTGCTGAGCCTGCGCGTGAGGAGCCTGGAGGTGCTGCGTCTCGTGGTACTGCGTCTGGAGGTGCTGCGTCTGGGGGTGCTGAGCCTGTGTGTGCGGAGCCTGGGGGTGCTGAGTCTGGGGGTGAGTCGCCCGAGGGTTCTGAGACTGCTGTTACGCGGTCTCCTTGGAGTAGCCGTCTTCGTCCGCGTGTGCCCCTCACCTCCCAGCAGCTGCACGACTGGTACGGTCACCGTCAGCGTCCCACTTCTGCACCTCAGGGCTCTCCTACTGGAGGTTCTTCTGCTGGTGTCGCTGGTCCCGGAGGTGCTCGTACAGGGAGTACTGGAGCTGCTGGGGCTGGTGGTGGTGCTGCTGGAGGTGCTGGAGCTGCTGGAGGTACTGGAGCTGCTGGAGGTGCTGGAGCCACTGGGGGTGCTGGAGCTGCTGGATGTGCTGGAGCTGCTGGGGGTGCTGGAGCTGCTGGTGGCACTGCTCAGTTGCGCCTGTTCTTTGCTCCGCCGTCTCTGTCGTCTCAGCCACCACCTGACTCCGCACTTCACCAGGTTCTCGGTCTTCCCTCGTCTACTGGTCTTCCGTTACAGCCTGGCTCACCGCTGCCTGCTCCCTCTCCGTACACAGAGCAGCCTGGTGGCCTTGCAGAGCGTCGTGAGCCTGTGTCGCGTCCTGTCTCCCCTGTCAGTTCCGGTCGTCGTGTTCCTCGTCAGTGCCAGCCGGCTGTCTCCGGCCCTCCCCTTGCCGTTCGTCGTCCTTCCTCTCCTTCACCGCGTGTTCCTCTGCCGCCTCCCCCTGCGTCCTCTCTGCCTGTCGTTGCTAACCCTGCGTCTGACCGGTTTCGTGCTGAGCACTCTACTGTCACGCGTCTGCTTGCCACTGTTGTCACTGACCCGTCGTTTGAGTCTGCTGCTGCGTCTGCCTTAGTCACTGAGCTTGTTGCCTTTGCTGCTCATTGTCGTCTAGACTACGCCGCCGGTCTTGTTGCTGAGTCTGCGTCTGTCTGTCCTCCGTCCGTCGGGGGTGAGTGTGCTCTTGGCACGGACGTCCTTGAGGACAGGCAGGAGGACCTTGAGTGTCTTGCAGCTGCTGCGCCTCATTTCGTATCCATGCTGCTTGCCCCTGAGGGAGACCCGGATGCACTAGACATCCCTACCCCGCGCTCTTACGCTGAGGCGATCGCGAGTGAGTACTCCTCTCAGTGGCAGACAGCCATGGACGCAGAGATGCCATCCTGGAAGTCCACAGGCACCTACGTCGACGAGGTTCCCCCTCCTGGGGCGAACATTGTCAGTGGCATGTGGATTTTCAGGGTGAAGCGGCCGCCAGGTTCTCCGCCTGTCTTCAAGGCTCGTTACGTGGCTCGAGGCTTCAGTCAGCGAGAGGAAGTTGACTTCTTCCAGACCTTCTCCCCCACCCCGAAGATGACCACTCTTCGGGTGCTGCTGCACGTTGCCGCTCATCGTGACTACGAGCTTCACTCTCTTGACTTCAGCACAGCCTTCTTACAGGGCAGCCTCCACGAGGAGATTTGGCTGCGCCGCCCTCCTGGCTTCACTGGGTCGTTCCCTCCTAGTACCCAGTGGAGCCTCCGGCGGCCGGTCTACGGTCTCCGCCAGGCGCCACGTGAGTGGCACAACACACTGAGGACGACACTTGCGGCTCTTGGGTTTGCTCCGTCGACTGCTGACCCGTCGCTGTTTTTGCGCACCGACACTTCTCTGCCGCCGTTCTACGTTCTCGTGTACGTCGACAACTTGGTCTTTGCCACTGCTGACACTGAGGCTCTCGCCCTGGTGAAGTCGGAGCTGCAGAAGAGACACACGTGCACAGACCTGGGTGAACTGCGCAGCTACCTTGGCTTGCAGATCACCCGGGACAGAGCACGCCGCACCATCACACTGACTCAGTCACACATGGTGCAGCAGGTCCTTCAGCGCTTCGGTTTCACCTGGTCCTCAGCACAGGCCACTCCTCTGGCTACAGGTCACTCGCTCTCAGCTCCACCTTCGGACGAGTCCGTAGAGCCGAGTGGTCCTTACCCAGAGTTAGTGGGCTGCCTCATGTACCTGATGACTTGCACTCGTCCTGACCTTGCGTACCCTCTTGGCCTTCTGGCTCGCTACGTGGCTCCTGGTCGGCACCGAAAGGTGCACATGGATGCTGCCAAGAGGGTACTACGCTACTTGTGCAGTACATCGGGCATGGGGCTCGTGCTTGGAGGACGGGGTGACGTTGTCCTCACTGGTCACTCGGACGCCTCTTGGGTTGACGACCAGGCTACGCAGCGGTCGTCACAGGGTTACACCTTCAGCCTTGGCTCTGGTTCAGTTTCTTGGCGTTCTACACGCTCGTCTTCAGTTCTCGGCTCCAGTTGTGAGGCTGAGATCTACGCCACAGCCATGGCTGCACAGGAGCTTCGCTGGCTCACCTACCTGCTGACTGACTTGGGAGAGCGGCCTCGTTCTCCTCCAGTGCTGTACGTCGACAACAAGGCCGCCATTGCCTTGTGTCAGGAGCACAGACTAGAGCACAGAACGAAGCACATCGCTCTCCGTTACTTTCTTGCTCGAGAGCTGCAGCAGCGTGGCCAGCTTCGTCTTACCTACGTGGCCACTCGGGCCAACACTGCTGATATATTCACCAAGGCACTTCCGCCTGGTGATCATCAGCATTTCTGCACTTTGTTAGGCCTTGTGCCCACTCTTCCTCGCTTGCTGTAGGCTTTGTTTGTACCATGATTTATATGTAATTCTGCATGCTTGTTCTTGTAAGTAGATTTCACTGTACTGTTGTTGTTACATATATATCTCTGCATGTGAACTGGCCTTGTGGCCTTCTTGCTTATGCTCAGACTGCGTGGTGATGTTGTGATCCACCCTGAGCTTGCTTTGCACTTCCTGACTGGTCTTGTGACCCTCTGTTCTCCCCCACTCTGCCTATGGGGGTGTGTCAAACATATGTATATCTATGTTATATTTTGGGTAGGCTTAATGGGGTACACACTGTGGGGTACAACCCCTTAGGTTCATTTTCCTTGTACCAACCTTCTCGATAGTCGACATCACTCGTGCCTAGCTTCTAAGAATACTATCTGTTTTGCTTCTGTCTTGGTGTTTCGACACGACAGAGGCGCTTAGATAACTTGTTTCCAACAGATTGTTGGCGAGCGGAGTCGCGTTCCGCCGTGAGTGTGGCGATTTCGAGCGCCGAATCTTCAAGTTGGCGGACGAGCCGGTCGAGCTGCTCCTGCGTCAATGTCGCGACATTAAGTTATGCAATGGCGGGGGTGTCGGGCGAGCTCAGCGTGAGCTTCTGTCGTGGCCGTGCGTGCTTACGAGAGAGCACTTCGAGCGGCGGTGCTTGGTCGCTGAGGGACGTCTACCCCCCCCCAAAAAATTGAGATAGTGGGAAGCGAAGGTGTGGGTGCGGTCCGAGAGAAGATCGTAGGCTCTGATAACTAAGTCTTACGAGTGCAATTGAGTGAGCGAGCGAGGATTGCACTATCGAGACAAGAATACAATGAGCGAAGTATTTGAGCGAAGAATATATAGCGAAGCTACAGTGGTAACGGTAACGTGTGGTCAATGGGGTGCGCGACGGGCCTGGTGCCTAGGTTGGGAACTGTCGGGGCGGAGTGTCAAACATATGTATATCTATGTTATATTTTGGGTAGGCTTAGTGGGGTACACACTGTAGGGTACAACCCCTTAGGTTCATTTTTTCTTTGTACCACCATCTCGATAGTCGACATTCATGCCTAGCTTCTAAGACGGAGGTCCGGAGCGCGGGTTTCCAACCGAACCGTGAGGTTGGGTCGCATCGTGAACAGTGGCGGGAATGGGGTCGAAACGAATGTCGCGAGTGGTAACGGATTATTGTGGGGTGCTATTGGCGGGAACAGTGGTGTACGTGCTGAGTAGGGACGCGAAGTAAGGAAAAGGAGTTTTCCTTACAGGTACAAGTATTAACCTTAATTGGGTTGTATGTCTTATGGGCTACCCCCCACTACAGCCTACACAATGTAAACACTATAACATCTTGACAAATAGACACCCCTTCTCTTATATCCGGGTGATGACAGATAGTGCTACGCTTGACAGATGTTTACTTGATGTGGAAGGAATATGATGTTTCCCCTTTCAACACTTCAAGTTCCCCCTTCTCTTGCTCGCTGCTCACTATCAGTTTCTTCTTTTCCACCTCCGTACTTTCTGCCAACGCTGACACTGATCATCTGCATATGGTTTTTGACTGAAAAGGTAGTATGAAAATTTCGGCCTCATGGGTTCGAAACTCCGGAATGTAATGTGATATAAACTGGATTCGTATTCGCATTAGGCTAGGATTGGTATAAAATCGTGCTGATTGAAGATGTCAGGAAACTCAAGGACCGAGGTTAGCTGGCGATACTTTCGGATAGCGAATGTGTCCACTTAAGACGTTAAACGCGTGATATGCTCGATGAATGACGCATGCATTGTTCAGTATGTCGAGCGTTACATCGAAAATATATGACAAAACTAATTTGGTGCAAAAGTTACAGCGTATTTAGACGCCCACTGGCTTAATTTGAGATACTTCGCTTACAAGCCAAGGCCAGAGTCATCATCGGTCTTGGGGAGCGACGAGGCATACAGATAGAAAGCACCCCAGATGGCGGTGAAGACACCGAGGAGAACCCAGGTAAGGGAAGAGTCGTTGATGCCGAAGGGGAGACCGGTACCATCCCCACCGAGAATCTCCTCGACGGCAGCCAGTGACGGAAGGGCAGCGGAGACCGAGGCGGCGACGGTAGCCGCAGACAGGACAGCCTTCCTCTCCTTCCTCTCAGCAGAGCAGGTCACCCTTGACATGCGGAGAGCAGGAAGTCCTGCAAGCGCATTTAGGAATGAAGAAGGGAAACACGAGGACAATAAGATATTTAGATTTGCTAGCAATGCTGAAGGAAACATTGAGAGTCAGCAGTCACAGAAAGTGGACGGGACGATGCGTACCGGCAGCACGGCCGGTAATCTGCTTCGAGGAAACAGACTTCTGCACAAAGCAGGTGGCGGCAGAAGCGCACGAGACGGCAGCGACGGTGGCCATGGCTTCAAGGTGTGAGATGACCGTGTCAAGCTGCGAGTATGCCGGAGGAAGTGGAGAGAGTCGGTTGTGCAGAAATTGGTGAATGGAGTGGTTATTGTAAAGCTGAGGCTGTGACACCGAGACCTGTGACCGAAAGAGAGCGAGATTCTGAGCGACACGTTATCCGAATCCCCAAGAAACCCAATCTTCCTGGTTCCCGTCCACGCTGGCTATCCCCATTCGCTGGCTCAGAAGCGTTTTACTGGTTCCCATCATCAGCGTAATCAGCCTTGTTCCACGTCAGAATCGTCGCGAAGGTCGGAACTTGAGGTGTCGCAGACGTTGTTACATCACGAAGAATGGTTGTCGAAACACAGTGTTACCGCTGTAACGCTTCCATTTACATGTGATGATATATTAGCATTCATGTATATGAAGTTGCTTTATCATATTTTGGAGAGCTTTGGTATCAAAACTGATTACTATAATTACCGTATTTTTAAATGAATCTGTACATTACACCTTATTCTCGTTGGATTCTTTAATTCAGAATGAAAACTTACTGACAATAGATCTTGTTTGTACCTACCTGATTAGTTATTTAATTTATTTGAATTACATAAGATACATTTGATGTATCCTGGGTTTATTAGGTGTGTTTTATGCATTTTACTTTGCAGAATCTGCATTGTAAACGATTGATCGGAAAACAATCTGTACTGGCACCTCTATGTGGTGCACACACCATTTCTTTCATCAGTCTTAGAAAAGGGTTCTTTATTGGCGAATTATGGCGTGCTGGCGGTCAGGTTGCTACGGGCAGGCATGTCCAGATAGCAAAAAATACCTGCTGAATACCTGAGAATGGGAGCTGTTCTCGCCGAGTATATCTCAGCAGACAAGGCGAGTCCGCCTGGGGGGAGCTCGCTGCCCGCGGGCAAAAGAAATAAAACCCATTCGGGCATGCATCCGGTCAGGGAGGCATCAACCCTAAACACAGGGAGGCATGGATTTAGGATTGATGCCTCCCTCGGATGACATGCCATCCGAGAGGGTTGTATTTTGTTTCTGCCCGGGGCAGCATGTCGTCAAGTCGTCAACAGGTCGTCAGGCTTGACGACCCGTTTCTGCTGGGATATTCCTTGCGGGGAACCTTGCCACACGCCAACTGCTGTGGGTTCTGCCCTCAGCAATCCAACCACCTGCACTGCACAAGCGACCCGGAATTGCCGCTAGCGAAATTGGCGGCACCCACCCACTCCCTCGCAGCGGCAGTGTCTGTGTGTGTGTCGCACGACTTCGTCGAGCCAGTTGGCAGTTAGCGGGTTCGCACGACTTCGCGAACCCACACTTGCATCCACTTTTCCAGGTCAGAATGCTTTGTTCGTGACACAAAACTATATATTGCACTGTACCGTACCGCACAGAAACTTAGTGAACCGCCACGGATCGACCTTTTCTTTACTCTCCACCTCCTTCACCCACCTCCTCCATGTCAGGAGGTGTGATCTTCCAAAAAAAACATCAGATGCTGGTTTCAAAGGTGGCTGCTCATCATGCCATTGCACAGAACACCACATACAACTCCGCTATCTTTCATATGTGTGTCTTGTAGAACTGCACCTGCTGGACTGGCTCCATGTCATTACCACAGATGCGATGCTACCAATTTTGTGTAAATGGAAGTCAGTGACTGGTCGGAACTGGAATGGAGCAGGTTGGGGGTTCAGGTGCGCGTTCCAGAAGCGGGGCTGCTAGTCCTAGAGCCGAGGACGACGAGGGTGACGATGCGCGTTGCACGAGTAGCAATGTCGACGGGAATAATCACAGCAGCAGCGTCCGCAATAGCGGAAATGACGGAGCTGTTGTGCGGGAGGTGTCGGAGAGGAGCCAAGTCTCCTCCTCACCAGAAGAGGCCGCACCACGGACGGCAAACGCGCCGCCGGAAGCAATGTCTAACCCAATAATAGCAGCAGCAGTACCAGCCGCTGCCACTGATTATCGTAAAACTGACGCTCATGCGACGGCAGCTTCAGGTGGCCCTGCGGCCGCCGGCAAAAGGGCCGTCGTAGCTCCTGGGCAGCTGCAAATACCACCGAGCTTCCATTCCAATCTTAGGGTTTCTGAGGATGGCAATGCGGGGACCGGCTATGCTGCTGGTGGCGGGAAAGGGAAGGCGGGTTCTTCTGGGTGTGGTAACCGAGTGCGGAGTAGGGAGTTTACTGCGGTACGTTCCGGTGAGGAAGCAGATCAAGCGGAGACGACGACGAGGCGTGCAGGAGAGCTAGACGCAAGGAGTAAGACGAGAAACGGAGGGAGAGGCGGCGGGAAGGGTAGAAACCAAGGAGCGCGCGGGAGAGGGAGGAGCAGCAAAGGCAACCGGCCGGTTTCCGCTGCTGGGAGCAAGCAAGGGGAACGAGAAGGCTGGGTGTTAGACCTTACAGGTCTAGGCCTCGACATAGGGATTGAAATGGGGAAGCGGAAAGGGCGGGCGGTGGCGGGGCCTGCTGGGGGGAGCGGGCTGGTGAGGAGGGATGAGATTGTGTTTGCGCGGACGGTGGGGGGAAGGAGACGGCGCCTTCCCCCTGCTCCTGTGTGGGTGGGCAAGGAGGGCGATAAGCGGTTGGGAGGCGGTGAAGGAAGAGGGGTGGGGTGTTTGCAGGAGAGGGCGGTGGGGCCGACTAGCAGCGCGGAAATGTCTTCTTCTGTCTCTTCTGCTTCCGCCTCTGCCGCTGGTGGTGGCACTGCGGCTGCTAGTACTGCCAGTACCACTGCTGCTGCTGCTGCCGCTGCTGATGGTCGTGGTACTAACGCTGCTGCTGCTGCTGCTGGTGCTGCTGCTGGTGCGGAGAGCGGCGGCGGTAGGGCGAGTCTAGGAGTGACGTCTTTTGCCGCTCTGTCCTCCTCATCGCTCCCCTCACTCCCAATCTCCATACCCTTACCGCCCCTGCTGGGCGGGGTGCTTCAGTCTGCTGCTTCTGCTGCCGCTGCTGCTCCCGCTGCTGCTGCTGCTGCAGCCTCTGATGGTGCACCTACAGCTGTATCAGCTGGAGCGGTTGTGGCTGCTACTGGCGCAGCTTCTTCTGAAGAGTCAGGGTTGGGAATAGAGGGGCAGTTGGGAAAAAAGGAGGCGGGGGGCGTGCATCAACGGCAGGAAGGAAACACAGAGGAAGACGATGAGAGGAAAGGGAAGGGTGAGGTAGAGGTGACGGCGGAGGAGGAGGTGGGGGAAGAAGAGGAGGACGATGGAAACGAGGATGAGGAGGAGTACGATGAGGAGGAAGAGGAAGAAGAAGAGGAGGAAGAGGAGGTAGAGGGAGGGTATGATGACGAAGACACAGAGGAGGACTTGAGGCGTGTGGAGTCTCACGAGGAGATGAGCAGCCACGGGGGAGCAGCCAGCGACAGCATGTACGAGTTCTTGGACGGCGAGGGCGAAGGGGATGGAGATGGAGAGGGCGATGTGGTGGTGGAGGGGGAAGGGGGAGGGGCGGAGGGGGACATGGAGCCGTTGCTCAAGTACGAGCGGATGGAGAGGGACGTGAGCGAGGTGCTCAAGACGGCCATCCCCACGTGCGTGGCGCTCTCTGCGCACGGCCTCATTGCGCTGGGCACCACGGAGGGCACTCTGCATGTCGTCGACCACCATGGCCGACAGGTCAGTCAGCCGCCTCGCCCTGCTCTCCCTGCTCGCCATGCTCTCCCTGCTCGCCATGCTCTCCCTGCTCGCCATGCTCTCCCTGCTCGCCCTGCTCTCCCTGCTCGCCCTGCTCTCCCTGCTCGCCCTGCTCTCCCTGCTCGCCCTGCTCTCCCTGCTCGCCCTGCTCTCCCTGCTCTCCCTGCTCTCCCTGCTCTCCCTCCTCTCTCTGCTCTCTCTGCTTTCCTGCTCTCCCTGCTCTCTCTCAATGTGCCCTTCTTCCCCGCCTCTCCCAGCATAGCCTTTGCCTTCCGTCACTTTCCCTTTCCCTCCGTCCGTCCTCGCCCACGCTTGCTGCTCGCTCGCTCACGCCTGTGGCCTCCACATGACGACGCACGACTTGCACGTGGGGAGCTGATTCTTTCAGGCTCCTGAAAGACTCGTCGCAATCCATGCGGATTCTGAGACGCGCTTAAAAAGAACTCCGCCATGCTTTCACTCGCTCACTCACTCACTCACTCCCTCCCTCCCTCCCTCTCTCCCTCGCCCCTGCGCCCCCCGCCCACCCCTCTCCAGGTGAAGACCTACGACCCACACGTGGGAGCCGTGACAGACGCGGTCTTCGACTCCACCTCCTCACACCTCGCCACCTGCTCAGACGACGGCACTGTAGTCATCCGCTCCCTCAACCTCCCTCCCCACCTCACCACCCCACCTCCCCTCTCCTCCTCCCCATCCTCCTCTTCCCTCTCCTCCTCCGCGTTCACCGCATCCTCCCCGCCGGCTTCTCTCTCCGCTGCTGCTGCGGCTGCGGCGTCCTCGGGGGTGGAGACGGTGGAGCGGTTTGAGTACCATCGCCCGCTCAGATCGCTTGCTCTTGATCCCGCGTTCGGTGCTGTGTGGCGCACACGCCAGTTCGCCACTGGGGGCGTGGCGGGGGAGCTTATTTTGAGCACACGGGGGTGGCTGGGGGCGACGGATCAGGTGCGTAGGGAGAGGGGAGGGGAGGGGAGGGGAAGCGGTAGGAGTGACAGCGAACTTGATGCAAGGTTGCAGATTGAGCAGCTGCAATGGTGGGGCAGGCAGGGGTTTTATGTTCTTTATTTGCTTCTTGTATATGAGCCAGTGCCTTTCCTTTGTGTCCTCACTTGTCCCCCACATCTCCTCTCTCTTCCTCTCTCAAGCTGCTGCACTTCACATGGGGGAGGGTGCCATCACAGTGGAGTGCTGGAGCGACTTTTGAGACGTCTCAAAAGTGAGGGTGCCATCACAGTGGAGCGCTGGAGCGACTTTTGAGACGTCTCAAAAGTGAGGGTGCCATCACAGTGGAGCGGTGGAGCGGAGGGGCACGTACTTCGCCTTTTGAGCCGCCTCACGTGTTCTCCCTTACTCCCCGTCTCCCCATCTACCCATCCGTCTCCAATCTCCCCGGCCCCACCAGGTGCTGCACACGGGGGAGGGCGCTATAACAGTGGTGCGGTGGAGGGGCACGTACCTAGCATGGGCCAACGACCGTGGAGTCAAGGTCTACTGTGTCGCCTCCTCTGCTCGCCTCGCCTTTGTGGAGCGCCCACGAGGCAGCCCCAGCCCTTCCGTGCTGCCTCCACACCTCTTCTGGCGGGTCCGTGCTCCCCCTCCTGCTCCCCCTCGTGCTCCCCCTCCCGCTTGCCCTCCTGCGTGCTCTCCCATTCCCCGGCGGGCTACGTTCCTTATCCATCCGTGTCGTCCACCTGCTTGCCTCGGCCCTCCTTTCTTCCCGCCTCCTCTGTCCCTCCCTCCTTCCTCCCTCGCACGGCTTCGTTTGCTCACTCTCTTTCCCCCCATCCCCCCCATTTGACACACTCCTCGCTACTTCAACTCCCATCTCTCTCTCAATCACACCACCACAGGATGACTGCACGCTCATCATAGGCTGGGCGGACACCATCAAAGTAGCCGTTATCCGCTCCAGAACCAACCCCTCCTCCTCCTCCACCTCCTCCTCCTCCTCCTACTCCTCCTCCTTCTCCTCCTTCCCCTCCTCCTCCTCTGCCTCGTCCCCATCGCGCTACATGGAAATCACCTCAGTCCTTAAAGTAGACTATCTAATCTCCGGGATCGCCCCCTATGGGGACCTCCTTCTTGTTCTCGCCTACCTCATGCCCTCCTCTTTCTTTGCCAACTCCAGAAGCGCCAGCTCCTGCAGCAGTAGCAGCAGCCGCAGCAGCAGCAGCTGCAACAGCGTCAGCGCTCGCTCCCCTTCCACCCCCACCACGCACCAGCTTCTCTCGCTCTCTAGCTCCTCCGGTCATCTCTCTCTGCCGGCTGCTGCTGCTGGGCTGCTTGCCTCCTCGCCTCTCTCCGGCTCGCGCTCCCCGTCCCACCATTCCCTCGCTTCTCCTCTCACTCCCCCCACTGTCTCCTCCCCTTTGGCTGCTGTGCCGCCGCCACAACCACCACCATCCACAGCTTCGTTTTCAGCAGCAGCAGCAGCACCATCAGCTGGAGTTGCTGCTCCAACTGCTACTGCTGCATCCGCTGCAACTAGTGGTGGCATTAGCAGCAACGACAACAGCAGCAGCAGCAGCAGCAGCGGTCAGGTACCCGCTTCTGTTGCAGCAGCAGCAGCCCCTGTTTTGCTTCCGGACTCGCCAACAGCGGCAGCAGCAGCGCTGGCAGCGGTGGCGGCAGTGGGGACGGCCCTCAATGACGCTGTTGCTGTGCCCAGTGCGGGCGAGGGGCCCCTCACTCTGGTACGCCCTGCCCCACTCGAGGGTGGGGCCATGTGCATGGGCATGGATATGTGCATGGGCATGGATATGTGCATGGGTATGGATATGTGTATGGGCATGGATATGTGCATGGGCATGGATATGGGCATGGGCATGGGCATGGGCATGGGCATGGGTATGGGCACAGGCATGGGCATGGGTACAAATATGGGTGTATGGGGTCCTCACCTGATCATCACAAGTCACAGCTAGCAACCGACTGTAAGGAATAACCATCGCATATAAATAAGCAGCTCGAGGTCAGCTCACGTCTGACATTCGTTCTTTTCAAAGGTGCCTCGAAATTCTCCACCGCTCCTCCCTCCCTCGCTCCCTCTCTGTTTGTCTCACCCTGCAGGCTCTCAGGCCTGAGGTGCGGCTAGTGTCTCTCAAGAACCACGAGCTCTCGTCTGACATCCTCTCCCTCAGAGGCTTTGAGCGCCTGCAGGCTGCAGATTACTACCTTGCACACTCTCCCCTCTGTGGTGCGCTCTCGCTCTCCTACCCTCTCCCTCTCCCTCTCCCTCTTCCTCTCACTCTTCCTCTCACTCTCCCTCTCCCTCTTCCTCTCACTCTTCCTCTCACTCTCCCTCTCCCTCTCCCTCTCCTCCTTCTCCTTCTCCTTCCTAAACCCTAAACCCTCTTTTCTATGTATTTCCTTCTCACTGTTACTCAGTGCATGCTGTGCTCCCCGTTTCCCTCCCCCCTCACACATCCATACACGCACGCACGCACCACACACACGTTCTCATCTCTCACCATACCTTTCCTCCCCACCCCTTTTCTCCGCCTCCCCACACATCACCCCGTTCCGCTATCTCTCTCCCACCAGCGACTGCATCTCTCCCTCCTGCCGTCACTGCTGCCGTGGCTGCCTATTCCGCTGGCCCCACCTCCCCGCCTGCCCTGCCATCAGACGCAGCCGCTGCTGCCGCTCCACCCGCAACTGGCACCGGAACTGCAGCAACAACAACAGCGGCATCAACAGCTGCAACAGCATCAGCAGCAGCAGCAGCAGCGGCAGAGGGCAGTGGGTGGCAGCCTTGTTTCGTGCTTCTAAGCCCTCGAGACGTGGTGCTTGCACGCCCCAGGTCCAAATCCCCCTACCTTCTCTTCCAGCCTTGTTTCTGGTTGCTCTACTGTGATGTGGTGGATAGAAGACGTGGTGGCGCTTCTTCTAAGGCCACCCTTTCACCCTTCTCCCTGGTGGTGGTGTAGACTTGCGATTTTTTGTTCCCTGGTGCCCGCCCATCCCTCCCCTCCATATGACCTCTCTCTCTCTCTCTCTCTCTCTCTCTCTCTCTCTCTCTCTCTCTCTCTCTCTCTCTCTCTCTCTCTCTCTCTCTCTCTCCCTTCCATCTCCACCCATCCCTCAGCCCCTTTTTTTTCATCTTGTTTCCTTCACTAGCAACACATTGCCCACCTTGTGCCATGCTCCAATTCACCCATCCCTCCAACCCTCTGTTCCCCCCGCTCCATGCACAATGTCAACTGTCTCCCTGTGCATCTGGCCCTATGTTCTCCTCCCCTCCTGTCCTCCTCTACCCCTGTCCCTCCTCTCCCCCTGTCTGCTTCTCCCCCTGTCTTCCTCTCCCCCTTTCCTCCTCTCCCCTGTCCTCCTCTCCGCCTGTCCCCCTGTCGTCCCGATGAGCAGGGATGCACAGGACCACGTGCAGTGGCTGCTGTCACAGGGCCGCATTCATGCTGCTCTAGAAGCCACCGGCCTTGCACCTGCTGCTTCTGCCACTGGCGCTTCTGCTGGTGCTTCTAGTGCCACTACTGATGGTGCTGCGTCTGCTGGCGCTGCTGCTGCTGCTGCTGCGGATGGTGGTGGTGGTGCTGCTGCCGCTGCTGGCGCTGCTGGTGGTGCTGCTGCTGCCGCTGCTGGCGCTGCTGCTGCTGCTGCTGCTGCTGCTGCTGCTGCTGCTGCTGCTGCGGATGGTGGTGGTGCTGCTGCTGCCGCTGCTGGTGCTGCTGCTGGTGCTGCGGGCAGTGCAGGGATGGAGGGAGGAACGCTAACAGGCATCACACTGGAGTTGCTTTCAGAGGTGAGGAGAGGAAAGGCGAGGCGACCAGCAGTGAAAGGCGACCAGCTGTTGTGGGTTCACACCAAACACTGGCCTGATGCAGAGTGCAGAGAGCAGACAGTGCTCTGCATGCACTCGCATCTGGCACAGGGACATGATGCCCGCGTCTCAGTCAGGTGGGACAGCAGCAGCAGGGAGCAGCACCTGGCGCATCAGCACTCGCACTCCCCTCTCCCCTGCATCTCTCCCTGCATCTCTCCCTGCATCTCTCCCTGCATCTCTCCCTGCATCTCTCCCTGCATCTCTCCCTGCATCTCTCCCTGCATCTCTCCCTGCATCTCTCCCTGCATCTCTCCCTGCATCTCTCCCTGCATCTCTCCCTGCATCTCTCCCTGCATCTCTCCCTGCATCTCTCCCTGCATCTCTCCCTGCATCTCTCCCTGCATCTCTCCCTGCTCTCTCCCTGCCTCGTTGGCACCCACACGCACACACGCACATACCCCCACCCCACCTGCATGCCCCAACCAGTTGGGGCAGCAGTACCTGGAGCATCTGATGCAGCAGCGCAGGTACCACCAGGCCGCTGCTCTCTGCCCCAAGCGTCATCTCGTTCCACTCATCAACCCTCGTACTCCTTTCTCTCTCTCTCTCTGCACTCTCGCTGCTATACCCCCACCTGCCCACCCCCACCAGGTGGGGCAGCAGTACCTGGAGCATCTGATGCAGCAGCGCATGTACCACCAGACCGCTACTCTCTGCCCCAAGCTGCTCCGCTCTCACGCCGCCTCCTGGGAGAGGTGAGGGGTTGGCATGGCATGGCATGGTATGGTATGGAATGGTATGGTATGGTATGGTATGGTATGGTATGGCATGGTATGGTATGGAATGACAGGGCAATACAAATGAAGCCGGCCGGATTTTGTCAGTTGTTGCAATGCAAGCGTGCGAGCGACTGCTCTGATCCCCTGTGTGTGTCTGTGTGTGTGTGTGTGTGTGTGTGTGTGTGTGTGTGTGTGTGTGTGTGTGTGTGTGTGTGCAACTTGCAGGTGGGTGGTGTGTTTCGCCCAGGCGCATCAGCTACCAGTGCTGCTGCCGCACATTCCCTTTGAGCACCCCCAGCTCGCCCCAGCGGTCTATGAGGTCAGTCGGTCAGGCAGGCTGCGCCTCTCCCTTGCTGCTGTGCCTGCCCACCTGTGCCAAGTGCGTTCATTCATGCATCAAAACCACCATATCTCCCACATTCCTACTCCCGCATGCGTGTTTGCTTTGCTCTAGGCAATGCGGTTGGTCTTTCCTCCACTCACACGTGCACCCGCTCCCTGCTTTCCCCCATTCCCCACATCTCCACACCCCCGCCCCCTTTCCCTCCAGATGGTGCTCTGTGCGTTCCTGCCATCCCCAGCGGACCACCCTCTCTTCCTCGCCGTCATGCGCTCGTGCCCTTTTGAAACGTCTCAGAATTCTTCCCCTCACAACCCCCCTCCATCCCCTCCCTGCTGCCTCCAGATGGTGCTGTGTGCGTTCCTGCCATCCCCAGCGGACCACCCTCTCTTCCTCGCTGTCGTACGCTCGTGGCCGCCCGCTATCCTGCCGCTGCCCTCCCTCATCGCCCGCGCTCAATCCCGCCACGCCGCTCTCGCTGCTCACGCCCGTCCCTCCGCGCCCCTGCTCGAGGTGATGATGCTGGGAATGGGAAGTAGGAAGGGACACTTTCACGGGACGGGAAAGGGGCTTGGCTGTCTGGCGCTTCGCTTGTTCTGCCATGATGGAGTGTGCTCTGCTCTGCTTGTTGCTGTAGCTGTGGCTGTGGCTGTGGCTGTGGCTGTGGCTGTGGCTGTGGCTGTGGCTGTGTCTGTGGCTGTGCTGTGTGCTTGCCAGTCCGTCCAAAGAGCGCATGTTTTGCTGCTCCCGTTTCATACATCTCAGAGCTCCTGTTTCTCTGCTCGCATCGCATCGCATGCATCCCACTCTGCTTCGTTCTGCCACACTCTGCTGCTCTCCCTCTGCTGTCCATCAACTCTCCCTCTGCTGCCCATCAACTCTCCCTCTGCTGTCCATCAACTCTCCCTCTGCTGTCCATCACCTCTCCCTCTGCTGTCCATCAACTCTCCCTCTCCTTTCCATTACCCCTGCCTGTCGTCACAGGCCTTGGCAGAGCTATCAATGAAGAGCAACAACATACCACAGACCCTGCACTTCTACCTCCTCGTATGCTCCCCCCTTTCGCCCCTCTGCTCTTATATCCTCCAAGGTACCTTGTTGCCACTTTCGTCCCCCCTTCCCTTCTCATTCGCCGTCCCTAGAACCTCCAGGCTATTTCTCCCTTCACATCTGCTCCCCTCCCTTTCCCTCCCTGGGCACTAATGCTACCACCTTTCAGCTTTGCCCTGCCCGCACTGCTATGCTCATCATCAGTCCCCCTGTTCTGTGCATCAGAATCCCACGTTTTTTCTGAATCATTTCTCTTGCCCTGCCTCTCATCACACCTACTATGCTATGCATTCTCCCACTCATTTCTCCTCCCTCGGCTCTCTCGCCCTTGCACTCTCCTCCGTGTGCCCCGCACCGCTGCCTGTAACCAGACGGCGTTGGCAGAGGCCAATCCGTGCACAGCAAGGAGGGTGGATGCTGTATACGACCTCATCAGGACCCATGCCTCGCTGCTGCTGCACTGCCTACCCACTCAGGTGCCATGCCCTGCCATGCCATGCCCTGCCATGTCATGCGATGCTTGCCTCAGGTGCCCTCCTTCGTACCCCTTCTCTTGTGCTGCCTTCCCGCAATTGATCACTCTTACCCTTTGATCACAATCCTTTCTTCTCTCTCCTCTCTTTGCCTTCCCCCTTTTATGCTCCTCCCCTCACCCCTCGTTTCTCTGCTTCCGTGTTTCTCCTTTCCCCATGTGCATGCATCCTTTCCCCATGTGCATGCATCCTTTCCCCATGTGCATGCATCCTTTCCCCATGTGCATGCATCCTTTCCCCATGTGCATGCATCCTTTCCCCATGTGCATGCATCCTTTCCCCATGTGCATGCATCCTTTCCCCATGTGCATGCATCCTTTCCCCATGTGCATGCATCCTTTCCCCATGTGCATGCATCCTTTCCCCATGTGCATGCATCCTTTCCCCATGTGCATGCATCCTTTCCCCATGTGCATGCATCCTTTCCCCATGTGCATGCATCCTTTCCCCATGTGCATGCATCCTTTCCCCATGTGCATGCATCCTTTCCCCATGTGCATGCATCCTTTCCCCATGTGCATGCATCCTTTCCCCATGTGCATGCATCCTTTCCCCATGTGCATGCATCCTTTCCCCATGTGCATGCATCCTTTCCCCATGTGCATGCATCCTTTCCCCATGTGCATGCATCCTTTCCCCATGTGCATGCATCCTTTCCCCATGTGCATGCATCCTTTCCCATGTGCATGCATCCTTTCCCCATGTGCATGCATCCTTTCCCCATGTGCATGCATCCTTTCCCCATGTGCATGCATCCTTTCCCCATGTGCATGCATCCTTTCCCCATGTGCATGCATCCTTTCCCCATGTGCATGCATCCTTTCCCCATGTGCATGCATCCTTTCCCCATGTGCATGCATCCTTTCCCCATGTGCATGCATCCTTTCCCCATGTGCATGCATCCTTTCCCCATGTGCATGCATCCTTTCCCCATGTGCATGCATCCTTTCCCCATGTGCATGCATCCTTTCCCCATGTGCATGCATCCTTTCCCCATGTGCATGCATCCTTTCCCCATGTGCATGCATCCTTTCCCCATGTGCATGCATCCTTTCCCCATGTGCATGCATCCTTTCCCCATGTGCATGCATCCTTTCCCCATGTGCATGCATCCTTTCCCCATGTGCATGCATCCTTTCCCCATGTGCATGCATCCTTTCCCCATGTGCATGCATCCTTTCCCCATGTGCATGCATCCTTTCCCCATGTGCATGCATCCTTTCCCCATGTGCATGCATCCTTTCCCCATGTGCATGCATCCTTTCCCCATGTGCATGCATCCTTTCCCCATGTGCATGCATCCTTTCCCCATGTGCATGCATCCTTTCCCCATGTGCATGCATCCTTTCCCCATGTGCATGCATCCTTTCCCCATGTGCATGCATCCTTTCCCCATGTGCATGCATCCTTTCCCCATGTGCATGCATCCTTTCCCCATGTGCATGCATCCTTTCCCACACAGCTGCCACTCCTACTGGCAGTCAATCCGTCCAGGTGCATTGCATTTGTGTCAGCCCGAGTGCGGCTGTTCCCCCCTTCCCGTGTCGTCTACTGCATCGCTCGCTTGGACCCCCTCCGCTGCCCTGCTCCCTCTCCCTCTGCCCTCCCCACTGCTGCTACCCCATCTCCATTTCCTCTCCGTTCTGATCCTTCGCCTCCTCCTCTTTCCACTGCTGTTCGTGCTGCTGCCACGGCGCCTCAATCGGGTGTGAAGTCTCCAACAACTGCGGACGGTGCTGCTGTTCCTGTTCCCACCGATAGTGGTGCTTCTAGAGCTGCTGCTGAAGAAAGCAGTCAAGCAGGCTCACACAGGGTGGATGGCAGGAAAAGACCTCACAAGCTACAGCTACAGCTACAGCTACAGCTACACGAGGGTGGGGAGGAGGTGACGGAGGAGGGATGGGAGGGAGCGGTTGGGAAGGAAGGGGGAGAGGGGAAAGCACGAGAGGAGAGCAAGGAGGGAGAGGAAGAGTGGGAGGGGGAGGAAGAGGACGGGGAGGAGGAGGGAGGAGAGGAGGGGGAGGAGTTGGAGGCGGCTGTGGTGCGTGGCATGGGGGAGGTGTGTGTACGGCAACTCATGTTCCGGTACCTGCACACGGTGTTCGTGAGCGCTGCTGCTGTGGGCAGGCGATGGCACACCATGCAGGTAGGGACGGACGGAGGAGCTGCAGAGCATGCACGCATGTACTTTTAAACGGTACAGCTCAATCTCAATGTGTCCCTAGATCTGAACTCGTTCCCATGTACACATAGACCTGTAGCCTTGTTCGGGCACTCCTTCCCTTTCTAATCGAGCACTGCAGTGGTCCGATCTGATGTGCCTAACAGCCTCCTTCACGCATGCTGCCCCTCTCTCTTCCCGTTTCTCTGTCCTTTTTACCACCCTCCTTCCCCTCCACTCCCATCCCTGACCCTTCCCATTCCTCTCAACCCACCCCCCCGTTGGGAATGAGATTCATCAGGTTCATCTGTACGCGGAGTTTCAGCCGTCGTTCCTTCTGTCCTTCCTGCGCCGCAGCTCCTTCTACTCCCTTGATGCTGTGAGTCACCCATGCTGCTTGCACCACCATCATTCCCTCATCATTCCGCCATTTCATCTTTAAACACCGTCCATGCCTGCACATGTGGCATGCCCTCTTGTTAGAATCTGCATGTTCTCGAATGGTCAGTGCCTGCACTTCCCTTCCTTATCCCCGTCCCCTTCCTCCCCCCTCCCTCCTCCCGACCCCTCGACCCTCTCCCTCATCCCATCCGCTCCTCCATTTCCTCTCCACCTCCCCAATTCCTCTGCCCCTCCTCCTCTCCGCCCCCTCGCACTCCCCTTGGCACCGGTGGTGCCAGGCGTACAGGGCGTGTCAGCAGAGGGGCTTACAGCACGCCATGGTGCTGCTACAGCAGCGCATGGGCAACCACCACGCTGCGCTCTCCCTCTGCCTGCACGCCCTGGGCGACGTTGACAAGGTGAGATGAGGGAGGCGAGACACAGAGAGACAGACTGTTTTGGAACTGAAAGCTCCCTATGGCAAAGATTCTAAACTCTGTTTCTCGCGTTTCTGAGCTCTGAGTTTAGGTGTGACAGCTCAGCACTCCTTTTCTCTTCTTCTTGTTCTTTGTTACCATTTGAGTTGGTGGGTGCGATTCTCGCAGTGTGAGCGTGCCAAGTTGAAAAGGTGTTGTAAGATGGTGGCTCAGCATGGGGCGATGGTCAGTGCCATGGACGGGCGCTGCTGCCCCCATGCATTTGAGACGTCTCAAAAATCTACTTTCTGCATCTGATTGCAACCAGCTCTCACTTCAGCTCCCTGTGCTCCTCTCCATGGCGTCATGGCGTGGCGTGGCATGTGTCATGGTGTGGTATGGCATGGGATTTTATGGGATCTCATGGCATGGCATGGTATGGCATGACAGGCACTCCAAGTGGTAGCAACCAGTGGGGATGACTCTCTGTGTGCCTCCATCACCCACCAAGCTGCCTCCAACCCCCACGTTGTAACAGTCCCATGCCATGTGCCTTTCGTTCAAGTCCCGCCACATGGTGGTGTAGTTGAGCATTCATTGCATCATTGTTCCAACATTGCCTCATGTGCCTTCTGTCCGCCTTCTTCTCAATGCCTTCATCCCTGTTCCGATCTCCACATCCCCTTTCTTCTCTCTGTCTCTCCCCTCTCTCCCTCTCTCCCTTCCACCCTCGCCTCTCTCATCCCGTCCCTCGACTCTCATGCTGCCAGCTGCATGCGCTCCTGGATCGCTGTCTTCCCACCATCAGTCCACTGCAGCTAGTGCGCATGCTGCACCCGCAACACCCCGTTCCTCGGTACGTCCTTCCATCCACCTGTCTGCATCACATCCGTCCCTCCACATCACATCCGTCCCTCAATGGCCCAGCTAGGTGGTGACTTAGCCCCAGCTAAGAGGCCATGCACGTGACATGTGCATGGGCCTCTAGGCTCTACCCTCCCTCCGCATGAAGCAGAAACAGAGTCGTCTCCTCAACGTGCATTAGCTGAATCCTCTATCCCCAGCTTCGGGTTTCAATTCAACGTGCTTTTCTCCTCATTCCACCCTCCTTCCTGCTCCCTTTGTCGCACCTGATCCCACTCCTGCTTTACCGTCTCCCTCCCCCCTCCCCCACCTACCCCCTCCCGTCACCCAAACACACTCGCGTCTCTCGCCACGCCTGCAAAACCAGGTTAAAGCAGCGGCTCATCCCTCTCCTCCGTTCAGCCTCATGCCAAGTGGATATAGAGCGACAATCGCACCAACTTGTTCTCGTGAGCCCACGCAATTCACCAACCACATGCACCCACCCACCCACCCACGCACGCTCACACACACTCACAAACTGTTGCCCGAGGCACCTTACCTTATTTATGTCCCCGCCCAGTCTCATGTGACCTTGGAGTTTATTCCCGATCGACCCGCTTCCTTGTTCTGTGTTTCCTCCTCTCTATCCTTTCTTGTGCATGTGCTGCTGCTGCTGCTGCTGCTGCTGCTGCATTCCACTGGACACCTTTTCCCTCTTCCTGTGCATATGTCCTCAAGAGAAATGGGACATCTCAAAACACTGTTTGCTTCCCATCCCACCCCATATCCTCCTTTTCTTCTTCCACCCCTCTCTCCCCCTCCCAATCGTGTACCCTCTCTCCCTTCCTCCCTCCCTCCCCTGTCACCTCACCTCCCCTGCAATTCGCCCTGCAATGCAAACTGCACCTCCACTGCAGTCCGGCTGGTTCAAGCTCTTCTCCTCATTCCATAAAAAGGCATGCAGAGCGGTGCGAGTAGGTTCCTCCGCCTGGCAGTTCAGCCTCTCCGTCCCCCCTGCCGCCTTCGCCACCCCTGCTTTCCTCCTCGCCTCCCCAACCCTCTCCTCCCTGCCGCCTCCCTGGCTGCCTCCCACTCCCAGCGCTGCCTCCGCTGCTGCAGCTGCTGCTGCTGCTGCTGGTGCTGATGCTGGGCTGATATTTTCAGAGAGAGGGGGGCGGAATGAGAGGAGGAGGGTGGTGGAGGAGGAACAAGGAGGGAAAGCAGGCGAAGGAGGGTCTGAAGTAGGCTCAGGCGCAGGAGCAGGACGAGGTAATGTTAATGCTGACAGTGGCGGCGGCGGTGGTGGTGGTGGTGGTGGTAGTGCTGCAGCTGCTACTACTACTGGAACTGATGATGCTTCTGTCGAGGAGGCATCAACTGACAGTGTTTCTTTGTACAATAGCTCTCACGACCACGCAGCAGCGGCGGCGGCGACAGCAGCAGCAGCAGTGCTGGCAGGCTCCCTTGCGAGCACAGGCAGCACGCGGTGCTGTGTGTGCCTGGATTCCATCTGCTTGTTTGACTCCGCAGCTGTGGTCTTCTTCTGCCGCCACTCCTACCACCGCTCATGCCTCCTCCATTCCGCCACTGCCGCTGCCGCCGCCGCCACTGGTGCCGCAGGTGGTGGTGCTGCTGGGGCTTCAGAAGGAATAAGTGCTGCCACTGCAGGTTCACCCTGGGCGTTCTCTTCTCCTGCTGCTGGTGGGACCTCTAACAGCTACCTCCCTTCTCATTTCCTTTCCTTGTTGCCACCTGCTCAACGTCCTTCCTCGCAAGAGATTTCTCCTCGTATGACAGAAGCAGCAACTGAGAGAGCATCTGCAACCACTCTCGTACCTCCTGCCACCACCGCCTTCTCACCTGCTGCTGTGACTGCCTCTGCTTCCACCAGTGCAGCTGTCGCCGCAGCTTCACAGTCTGACCTGTCATGTCTTGATTCTGAGCTGTTTCCCGCCACACATGACGTGGCTTGTGCTGTGTCTGACGTGTCTTGGTCTGACTCCCCTATCATGGAACGAGTAAGGGCAGTGCTGGAGGGGCAGAGTGGAAGGGCAGAGGAAGGTGGGGGGTTTCTGGGAATGGGCAGGGGGGGCAGGAGGGGAAGAAGGCGGCAGCAGAGAGCTATGCGGTTCAGTGGATCCTTTGCCTCTTCTGCTGCTGCTGACTCCGGTGCTGATTCTGATGCTCCATCCAGCCAAGGAGGTACACCAGGAGAAGGAATGCAAGGAGGGGGGCGCAGGGGAGGATCAGGATTCGGAGGAAAAGCAGGAGAAGCAAGGGGAGGAGGAGAGGCTATCCGGGGTCGGAATGCTTCTCCTGCCACACCTCCTGGTGCCTCCCATGCCGCCCGCCCCAGCGACCCTGGGGATCTGCGCCTGCTGTCCTACTGGCAGCGAGAATCAACCCCCATGGTGGCAGAGTCGAGTGAAAGTCATTTCACGGGGAGAGATGAGCAGCAGCAGTCACACAAAGGGGCCTCTGGAAGGGTGGATTCTGATTCTGATGAGTGTGGGCCAGGAGGGGGCGAGGCTGGAGAGGGCTGGGATGAGGCGAGGCAGGTCGGGGAAGAGAGGTATGGGAGGGGCAGTGGAGCGAGAGAGGGAGTGGGCGGGATCAGGGAGGTCGGGAGTGGGTCTGGGTTGTATGGATCATGTGAAACTGGGGGAGGGACTGGGGGTGATGGCCACAGTGGTGGTCGTGCTGGTGGTGATGGTGCTGGTGCCAGTGGTGATGATGTTGGTGGTGCTGGTGATACAGTGGTATCAATACAAGACGTGGAGACAGCACAAGGACAGGTGTCACCACCGCAGGCGCCTCCTGATCTACAAACACAAGGGAAAGCGGGTGCAATGGAAGGTTCGGGTAACGACAAGCAGCCACAGGCTGTTGTGGGAGAATTAAGAGGTGTGGTGTTGCAAGGGGCGGTGAGGGCAGGGGGGGGTGTTGGCTGGGAACGGAGAGTAAATGGATTGATGTTGAGATGTGTTATGTGTGTTGGTGCTGCTGGAGCTACTGGTGCTATGGGACAGGATGGTTAGTAGCTGGGGGGTTGCAGCCAGAAAGTGCTTCTATCAACATCTGATATCTCCTACGGTCTACAGTACAACGGATGCATGTGCTCGGCACTGTATGGGTACACCTGGTGCCAAGCTTTTGATGAAGTATGCAGCTGAATGGGTGGTTGGGTGGGTGGGTGTGCGTAATCTGCTTTGTATAATGTCTTCATTGTCAAGATGCCTGCAATAAGGTATCTCATAAGGAAGCAGGGTGATGTTTTATTTATTCAATATTACTGAATTGATTTGCTGGCAAGCAGTTGCTTAAACTTCTCAAACCTCTCAATCAACCACTGTATTAATCACTATTTCTCTGAATCGCTTGTATGAAACATTTGAGAGGTGCAGTTGTGGACCGTCACACACTGGGGTTGGTCCTGATTGGGATGTACCAATTATTATTAGCACATTACATATGTTCAGAGACTGAAGAGGTTTAGTATGTGATTCATACTACTTGAGAGGTGTACTTACTACTTTATTCGTTCAATACAGATTCAACAATGTGTATCAACTTCTGAAACTTTTTTTTTTGGCAGAAATTCAGCATAACATTAGGTGGATTGTGCCTCTCTTTGCCGAAGTGAGCGCAGAAAAGCATCCTAATTTTGTAAATTGAGCTAGTGTAAGGGGAGGTACACGTTTGGTTTTCGTGATATCATTCGCCACATTTCTGCGTCAATATTCAAGAGAGACGTCTTTCCGGGAGGGGAATTTTTCGACTCTTCGTACGAGGACTTGCCAAGGAAAGATGGGAATCGGAAAATGAACCACGCACGTGGCTGCTGACAAGATTCGTGGCTGATGTCCAGGTTTCCGGCGCCGTAAACAGAGGTTTCAGGTGCTGTATAAAATGTTATGGGTGTCAGTTCGAAGTGTGCATGTCCATGGTGCTGGATGTGTCTACCTGAACACTGGGACCACTACCTCCCCCGACACTTAGCGCGCCGTAATTCAGGAAAACATCCCACGCTTCGAAAGGGGTTTGTTAGAAAATACGAATAGCTCAACAGGCAAAACCAATGTTGTTATCCTTCACAGAACAACTTCACACACCCACACACTCACCTAAGTCAAGTTCCGGAGCTATTGCTTCCCAGCTTTATCAGAAACTAGCTTTCGTTTCATTGCCATGGCGGTTGTCCACAGCATATGCTCCTTACCACAACAAATACGTAGTTGCTGTATGCAGTGCTTTTAAGAGTGCCGCTGTATTTTTTTCTCTTTACGTTCTCCACACCTTAGCTGGCCTTAGGGCAATGAAGTTTCTTGAGTACACGCCTCTCGCGAGGTGAGCTGAAATACCCTAGCTGCAATGTTCTATTTAGGCTCCAAATTTGTTTATCATATAGCATGCGAACCGTTTATATCGGATGTAATGCGCGTCTACTCCGCTTTCTGAACGCCATATTTCATCGCATCCGTTTCCTGGACTAAGGGATGCGAGCGGCTGACTCTTGTAGTAGAAGTATTTCCATGGACATTAACACCTTCCACAGCGTGTTCTCAACATTTTGCCTTGTCGACGTTTCTTCTTGCGTCCTGACGACCAGTTTGTCGCTGTTGCTGTATCTTTTTTTTTTTTTTTTTTTTTTTTTTGGCGAGCATTTCATCCGTTTCCTTTCTTCTGTTGCGTCCCTGGTTGGCTCGCTTGACGCTGTCTCGATCCCCTCTCATCCCACCAGGCTTAATTCCTTTCTTTCACACCTTAACCTTCGCGACCACCAATTACAAGGCCTTCTTGAAGCGTACTCATGTACGTAACTCAGGCTCCATGGTAACTTACACGCTAAACCAGGCATTTCTTCTCGTGCCATTCCATCCCTTTCGTCGCCCTGATTTTGCACCACCCGCTCTTCTCAATCTCCGCTCACCTCATAAGTTCTCTTGACGTGGTCTGCTGTTGTTGTTGTTGTTGTTGTTGTTTTTTTTTTTTGGTGCTTATCTGCCCATGGGGCATTGCATTGATGGCCCATAAGTGAATGATTGCGTTACATGGGTCGCCTGACATGGCGCTCCCGTTTCAAACAAGTGGATTGTGGTTGTTGGTATTTGATTCTCTTTTCTTATTTGTACTGCTTGCGAATGGCTGTTTTGTTGCCCCTCCCTGATGGCGGAGGATTAGGGCTCCTTAAACATTGTGTATTGTGCATAATGCATGGTGCAAGTGTTGTGTTGCATGGTGCATGGCGTATCGTGCGTGGTTCATGGCGAATGGTGCATGCATGGTACATGGTGCATCACGCGTCATGTCATGGTGTGGCATGATGTCTTGAGCAGGTAAAGCAGCAGGGATCGACAAGAAGTTGTCAAGAAGCGTGGAGCAAGAGGTGCGTCTGGAAACGCCCTCACTTGGGGTAGGAAGAGCTTGAAGGTGTTTGACAATGGGAAAGACTGGGAAAGGCCGAATCAAGTGGGCGAGTGTGGGGGGGAGAGAGGGGGGGAAGAAGATCGTTGAGGAAGGTTACCAGCTCAACTGCATTCATCTCTTTGCTTCACACGCTAATCTTATCTCATTGTTTCTATGTATCTTCGTTTTCTGCATGCCGTCGCTGGTTTGTTCAAGAGCAGGTGGTTGATGCTCTCGCTGCCTCGCCCATGGAGCTAGCAGCCTCGCCTGTCGGCCCTCTCTCCACCTCTCAAAGGTGCTGTACCTTACCCTGCCACCATTTCCTGCCTGATTGCCTTCTCGCGCGCTAATCTCCTTCCTGCGTCCCTGTTCGCATGATGTAATGGCCTGCTTTCAGTGTTTCAATATCTGCCCGTCCACATTCTCTTTCGCTGTTTTGCCTTGGCGTTTTGCAGTACCTTCTTTCCTCGCACTCCCCTCCGCTCTTCCCTTTCCCCTCTTTCTCTCCCCCACCCGCTCTCTTTCTCCCCTTCCCCTCTTTCATTCTCTCTCTCCCTCTCCCCCTCTGTGATATCACCTATCCTGCATCAGTCGCAAGACCCTCGTCTATCTCATCCTCACACTCAACCACGTTTACCCTGACTACGACTTCAGGTAACGCACTCTCCGTCCCTCTCTCGCTCCCTCTCTCACTCCCTCTCTCCCTCGTCTCTCCCCCCCATCCCCCTCCTTCTCTCGCTCCCGTTCTCCCCTCTCCCACCTTCTCTCACCCTGTCTTGCTTCCTCTCCTATCCGCGTGTCACATCAATCCGCGACCTTTCTTCCTTTCCCATACACACGTTCCCCGTTGTCCGCATCTCGCATCCTCCCTCCCTCCTACTTAGTTCTTTCCCGTACCGGTCCCCACTCCCACTCCATCCCCTTTCCCCCTCCTCCCTATCGTCACTGTCCTCCTCGCTCTCTGGTCTCCCTCTCACACCCCCCCGCTCTGTCCTTCTCCCTGCAAGTGTCCTCATCCGTCAGCCTTTCGGAACCGGCACCTTTGTCTCCTCTCTGCTGCTCCCTCTCTCTCCCTCCCTCTCCCTCTCCCTCCCTCTCCCTCCCTCTCCTTCCCCCTCCCTCTCCTTCCCTCTCTTTTCCTCCCTCTCCTTCCCTCTCTTTTCCTCCCTCTCCCTCTTCCCTCCTTTCCCTCTCCCGCTCGCCACCACGCCTGCAGCACGCTGCGGTCACACCACTTCAGCAAGGAGAGCGGCCCAGGGGCAGTCAAGGACCCCATAGACCAGCTGCTACGCGAAGCAGCCAAGGTACCCGCCTCTGCTTCCTACCCACTTATTCCCCACCTGCTCTCTTGTGCCCCCTCTGCTCTCTTGTCCCTCCCTTGCGCTGACCTCTTTCCCCCACTCGCTTGTTTCCCCGTCCTGTCTGGTTATGTTTCGCCCTGGCCAGCTGTTGCCCCCTAATCTGTTCGGTTGTCTCTCTTGTGGTCAATCCGGTTGTGCCGTTCTTGGCCAGTTGTGTTACCAGCTGGCCGGTTGTGTTACCATCTGGCCGGTTGTGTTACCAGCTGGCTGATTGTCTCTCTCGTAGGCTAGATGTGTTATGTGAACCCAAGCTCAGAGCCAATCTGCAGGGGGTGCAGAGTGGACGAAGAGGGCAGCCCACCTAAGTGGTTTCTAGTTGAGGGTCCAGAGGACTACGGGAGGGAGGCTGGGTTGAGGGGAGTGAGATTGGGGTTGGGTGCGGTGGGGATGGAGTTGGGAGAGGGTAGCAGAGGACACGGTAGGGATTGATTTTGCTGCATGGGCAGTGCATGTTGAGGGCGTGCGATCGGATGTGGTACGGTGTATAGTGGTGTGGTGTGGTGCAGCGTGTTGTGATGTGATGCGATGTGAGAGCCGGTAGCTCAGTGGCAAGAGATCCGGTGCATTCACTGGAGGGTCCCGGGTTCAATCCCCGGCCGGTTCATTTCCATCCTGGCATCCTCATGCGACGCTCATTCTTTCCGCGTACCCTAAGACCCTTAAACCTCTTATCGTTCTCATAATCCATCAATCATAAGCTATTTGCCTCCACCTCTTTGTGTCACTCCCATCCCATGCTCGCATCCGGTTCCAGAAAAAAGGGTTGGGTTGGGCTGGGGTGGGGGTAGAAGGCCGAGGGTCTGGGTCTGGGTCTGTGTCTGTCTCTTTCTACTGTCTACAAACAAACAGTCTTGAGGGGGGGAGTGGGGGGAGGAGGAAGAGGTTGGAGCGGCAATGATATCAATGGCCGCGCTGAGAAGGCCGCAGTGTATATGTGCAATATAAGACTGAGGGTGTGTTTTCTTCTCCTTGTTGGTATACACTTGAGAGTTCAAGGCATTAGGTTCTGAACGGGCCATGGAATGATGGATGAGGAGAGGTAACACTGTGCCACTTAAGTGGTAGTGCATGCCAGTGATTTCCCGATTTCAGAGTTGTAGTTCTGTGGTATTACTACACACAGCAGTGGTTCACCCTCCTTGCCTGCCTTGTCTGCCTGCCTGCTTGCCCGCCCACCCGCCCACCCCCTTGTCTGCCTGCTGCCTGCCGTCCGTTCAGTGCTGGGTTCATTGTAGTTTTATGCTGTTGATTTGTTCTAGTTGTCTACAATATTTTTCCCCACCTCTTCTCCATCTGACCACCCTTTTCTCTCACACTTCTCTCATGCTTCTCTCACCCCTTTTTCAACGGTGCAACATAAGCACATGCATCCATGTACATCTGCAGCCCCACTCCCGTGCATCCATGCATGTGGGCTCTCACCCACTTTCTTCTCAAACATACATCTGCAGCCCCACTCCCTTTCCTTGCTTTCCTCATCCCCGCTTCCTTCAACCCACTCACCCCTCCACCCTTTCACCCATCCACCCACACCATAACCCATACACCACTCCATCGACTTCCTTGCAATGTCATAAACGCATCTCATGGAATTGCATGGTGTGGTGTAACATGCCATGGTGCGTTGGTTCACAGCTATGGGAGGAGGAGATGGGCAGTGACGTGCCATTTGCTGACGCCCTTTGGTCCTCAATAGACGATGTGAGCCCCCACTCTGTCTAGTGCACCACTCTCCCTCCACACACCATTTCATGGATAGAATACCGATTAGTACCTGATATATACGTTATGCAGCGCAGTGGCCTTGGTCTGTCTAACACGGCACAGCCACCCTGCTTATTATGACAGTTACGCACGTTCTTTGAAGTGGACTGGTTATGGTAAAGAGGGGGGTAAGCAAGGGAGGAAGCATGTTCTGTCTGGGTGGCCCCTGATACTACTACTGGGCTGACCGCTGCCTCATTGTGGGACATGGTGCTACCATTTGCTTTTGATAACCCGCAGTGCTTGTTGAACACGTTTAAGTCGGGGTTGCGCGCGTGGTTGCTCTGCCGGCCCTGCGTTTGAGCTGCTGCTTCTGCTACTAATGCCGTGTCTTGGTATCTGCCTGCATGTGCATGTGCATATGCATCTGTATGTGTATGTCTGTGTGCGGTATTGTGCGCATGCCCACGTGCATGTGCGGTATCATGTGCACCCCCTACTGCAGGTGATACAGCTGAGTGAGTGCGATGTGTACAGTTACCAGCCAGACGTTGACACTGACATATTCACTGACAGCAACAGCATGTCAGTCTACACAACCCTTCGTTTCACACATGTTTGCCACCCCGCCCTGGCTTTCCCTGCTGTCCTCTTCCCTCAACCTCTCTTTCTCGCGTTCCATTTTCTCCTCTTTTTCTTTCTCTCATGCCCTCTTTCGTCCTTCCCCTACCCATGCACTCGATTTGCCTTTTTTTCATTTGTCACCGTGCATGTTTTTTGTCGTTTTCCACTGCCCCCCTGTACCCTGCAGATGGTCCTTCAACTACTTTTTCTACAACCGCAAGCTCAAGCGAGTGCTATACTTCACCTGTCGCTGTCGCAGGTACGCTTGTGCGCCTTGCAGATGATCCCTGCTGGGACCTGCTTAGATCCGCTTAGGTCTGCGTGGATCTTGTTGGATTTTCTTGGATCTGCTTGGATTCGCTTGCCTGCCTTAGATCCGCCTCTGGTTCTGCCTTTGCATCACGCTTGTTTACCCTCCCTTGACTGTAGTGTCGCTGATCCTGCCTTTCCCTTGTTCCCGCTCAACACACATGTAATGGGCCATGCCATGCCATGTCACACCATGCTATGCCATGCCATGTCACACCATGCTATTCCATGTCACGTCACGCATGTTCCCTAGCAGCAAGGTGGGAGCAGAGGATTCATCATCTGAGGAAGGGGAGAGTGTTGAGGATTATGCTGACATGGCAGCCGACATGGACCTCTAAAGTCCTTGCCACTTGCTGTCTCAAATGTCGTGCCGTTTGCCGTCTCCCTTGGGGCGATGCTATCCCTGTGAGGAGCTGATTATGCCGCCGCTGCTACTACTGCAGCCGCTGCTACTACTGCCGCTGCTGCTACCACTGCCGCTGCTGCTACTACTGCCGCTGCTGCCACTACTGTGGCTGCTGCTACTACTGTTGCTGCTGCTACTACTGCCACTTCTGCTGTTGCTGTTACATTGTCACTATGCTTCCTCAATCAAACAGTCTGCAGCACACACACCACAACTTCATGGGGCTATCCTGCAACTGGCTTGAGAGGTGGAAAGGGGTGTGCTCCTCCTGAGTCCTGGAATGGTTGTGATGTGACCATGCAATGCACTGCAATGAGACCATGTGACAATTGGCTAGGTCAATATGTGGCGCATTGGCCATGTAGCATGGCTTTGTCAGTGCTACTGGTGACTGGTCTGTTCTCATGCTGCTGCTGAACTCTTGTGCCACTGAACCTCTCTGGAAGTGTATAGGTAATACATGTCCTGGCTACATCACCTTCAAACCACTTCGACTACTCTGTGTCACATGCTATCAGATGTTGCTGCATCCTAGCAGCAGGTTTAGGGTACGGTACCCTAAACAGAGGTACCCTATCAGGCCCTCAGATATCAGGCTTTTTACCCTGATTTGACTGATTTTCAGCCTTTTTTTCTGCACCAACCCTGAACTTACAGCCTTTTCTATTTTGTAACCCTGAAATTTCAGCCTTTTTTTATGGAAGGGGACTGATTTTTCAGCCTTTTATCGAACGTGTACACTGAATGCAGATTCCGCATCCTTCCTGTAAAACACCTGAGATTATCGGGACTCCAACATTTCACATCAAAAGTGTACATATAACGAAAACATTTGTCTTCGCAGCATGAACTGTCCCAGTCGTTACCGTAATTACTGTCGAAGAGGAAAGCCCCGGTTTGATTCCCTGTGCCGTCATAACTAGATGGGCCTACACTTGAAACCACAAGTGTAAATTGTATGAAATCAGACCTTTTTTTCAGACCTTTTTTTAGGACCTTTTTTTCAGGCTTTTTTTTTTTGCAACACTGACAATATGCTTTTTTTCACAGGGACTCTGATGCATCAGGGTCCCTAAAAGTGAATCTAAGGGCCTGTACCCTATGGTCCTGTTTTATTAGTAAGCACAGCATTGTGAATAGTAACACGAAGTCCTAATCTTCTCTGCAAAACTACCACTAACTGGTCAGCTAGCCATAACAACCTATCAGCCCTTAAGACCTGTTGCTGCTGGATCTGCCACTGTTGGCACTACTGCACATGCACAATGAGTGCTGTATGTGTGCAGAGTTTGCACATGTATTTCATCTACACTATTACTCCGCCCTTGTCGTGTCTGATATGGTAGAGATTCAGCCCTCCTTTAGCCTCTCCTCCCCAAGCCTCTCTTCCACCTCACTCCAGCTCCATTAAAGCAAACTGCCCAGAGAAAACTGCCCAGGCCCGGCCCCCCAGGCTCCTCTAGCAGCAACAATGACATACCCCATCAGTCGCAGCAGCGCCACAGCCAGTGCCAGAGCAGCATCTTTGAGACGTCTCAACTCAAACCTCCGTTCACGCAAATTGATCAGGCCCAGGCCCCCAGGCTCCTCTAGCAGTAACAATGGCATAACCCATCAGTCGCAGCAGCGCAGCAGCGAGTGCGAGAGCAGCAGCAGCAGACTGCCATGACCCCACCACGCTCCACTGCATGGCTGATGTGAACGCACATCGCACCGGCAACCACACTCCTGTGAACCTGCAACAGAGGATAAGGGAGAAGAAAAGGGCCGGAGGAGGGGAGAAGAGGAACCGCGTACAAGCGAAGGTGAACGAGGGCCGGGTGTCCTGGGGAAGCATGGTGGGAAGTACCGTAGCAGTGTTCTGAAAGCACAATAGCAATTCAATCTAGCCCATCCATCCACCCAGTTTCCCAACCACCCAACACCACCCATCCATGCATGCATGCACTAACTGGTTGCTGACGGCCCCTGCCAGCAGCCCCTTGACGGCCCACTGCAGGAAGCTGAGCCACTGCAGCCACGCCCTCACTCCCCCACTGCGCGCTGCCGGCGCCACCGGCACCAGCGTCGCAAAGTACGCTGCTAGGCACAGCACCAGGGCGACCTGGGTGCGGGGAGCAAGTAAGGGGAACAGTTAAGGGGAGCAGTTAAGGGAAGCAAGTAAGGCGAGGAGGTAAAGGGAGGACATAAGGGGAGCATAGGGGACCCATGGACGGGAAGGCAATGCAGGCAAGGGGGAGTGATGGATACAGGCAGGGGTAGAGCAGTGCACGTTGAGGGGGAGGTGAACAGAGGGTTACTTGGGAAATAGCCAACGTGCATTCAACGCAGCAACGAGCATGGCGACAAGATCGTCCGTGCACAACTCACAGTTGCGCAGCGAGCTACGCTAGGCGAGGTGAGTGAGATAGGCGAGGTGCGTGAGATAGGCGAGGTGAGTGAGATAGGGCGAGGTGAGTGAGATAGGCGAGGTGAGTGAGATAGACGAGGTGAGTGAGATAGGCGAGGTGAGTGAGATAGGTGAGGTGAGTGAGATAGGCGAGGTGCGTGAGATAGGCGAGGTGAGTGAGATAGGCGAGGTGAGTGAGATAGGCGAGGTGAGTGAGATAGGCGAGGTGGGTGAGATAGACGAGGTGAGTGAGATAGGCGAGGTGAGTGAGATAGGCGAGGTGAGTGAGATAGGCGAGGTGCGTGAGATAGGCGAGGTGAGTGAGATAGGCGAGGTGCGTGAAATAGGCGAGGTGAGTGAGATAGGCGAGGCGAGTGAGATAGGCGACGTGAGGGAGATAGGCGAGGTGAGGGAGATAGGCGAGGTGAGTGAGATAGGCGAGGTGAGTGAGATAGGCGAGGTGAGTGAGATAGGCGAGGTGAGTGAGATAGGCGAGGTGAGTGAGATAGACGAGGTGAGTGAGATAGGCGAGGTGAGTGAGATAGGCGAGGTGAGTGAGATAGGCGAGGTGCGTGAGATAGGCGAGGTGAGCGAGATAGGCGAGGTGAGTGAGATAGGCGAGGTGAGTGAGATAGGCGAGGTGGGTGAGATAGACGAGGTGAGTGAGATAGGCGAGGTGAGTGAGATAGGCGAGGTGAGTGAGATAGGCGAGGTGAGTGAGATAGGCGAGGTGAGTGAGATAGGCGAGGTGAGTGAGATAGACGAGGTGAGTGAGATAGACGAGGTGAGTGAGATAGGCGAGGTGAGTGAGATAGACGAGCTATTCAGCAGGCAGGGCAGAAGGACGAGGGATGAGGGACGAAGGACGAAGGACAGAAGATGAGGCCTTACCATTGCTGCTCTGCGGCGGGAGAGGAAGCTGAGAAGAAACGTGTGCAGGCCCGAGGAGCACAGCACGAGGCAGAGGGCCACCGCAAGCGAGGGGCCAAAGGAGGCGAGGATAGCGGAGAAGGGGAAGAAGAGCAGGAGAGGCGGGAGGAGCAGCAGCGGGAGGAGGGCGAGGAGGAGGGTGGAGAGGAGGTCAGCAGCGAGGAAGGGGAGGATGGGGGGGATGTTGAGAGAGGAGGCGATGGGTGCTATGCTTGTGATGGCGAGTAGGGGCGAGGCGAGTGGCACAAGCACGGAGGAGAGCACTGCAGAGGAGAGGGGATACGGGAATTGTGGGAGGGAGGGATAGGGAGGAGGGGTGAGAGGTGAGAGGTGTGTTGGAGATGGAGGCATGAGGGGTGCAAAGGGGCAAAAAGCGCATGGGGGAAAGAGGGGAATGAGCGGAGACCAAGGGCATTGGGGACAGAAAGGTCACGGAGTAGGGGAAGAGGACTGACAGGATGGGGAGGTTTCTGTGACAAAGAAAGGGAGCAGGTTACAGGAGAGGCACAGGGAGCAGTGCACATGCCAGCAGCCACATGCCACAGGCACGGACTAGAGCGTGCTATTTGAGTCGACTCAAAATTCAGACTAGAGCGTGCTATTTGAGTCGACTAAAAATTCGGACTAGAGCGTGCTATTTGAGTCGACTCAAAAGTCGGACTAGAGCGTGCTGCGTACAAGTGCCAATGACAAGCGAGCAGCGTACCAAGAACAAGGCAGAGGTCGGCGGTGGGTTGGAGGAGGGCGGAGGGCGAGGGGAGCGAGGTGAGCAGCAGCGACCAGAGTGCAGCGAGGGCGAGGATGGCAGTGAGCGCGAGGAGGAGAGCTGAGAGGATGAAGGGCGCAGCACGGGAGTGCTCCCTCACACTCCTGATGGGCGAGGTGGGGATGGGGGGGAGGGGATAGTGAGGGTTAAGTCAGGAGACACGGGGAATGAGGTGGAGAGTGGAGGTTATGAAGAGAGGAGAGCAGAGCTACTTCTGAGTCAGCACGGATACACCCACTCCTCAAACCCTCTCACTCAAGCACACACACATAAGTTTCCACACTCCACACTCCACACCCTCATCCCTTCCCCCTCAACATGCCCATGACCGCCCCAAACTAAATGAAAATACGCCTTTAAGATCAAGAACCATCTCAACCCCGAAGCCTCACCTGCCCAGCACCGCTCCAAACTGCCGGCCTGCTCCCCTCCTCGTTCGGTCTGACAGATCCTTCCCCCGTCGCCACGACAACAGCGCCCTCGCCCTCTCCCATTGCACCACCGCCTGCCACCGCACCTCCTCCATCCCCTCCCTCACCACCTCCCCCACCACCATCCCAACGCTCCCCAGCACCCCGCGCGGCCCACCCCGTCTCCCCACCCCTTCCTCCTTCCCCCCTGCGTCCTCCTTCCCGTCCCTGTCTCTCCCCTTCAGCTCACCCGCCTTATCCTTGGCACTGGCGTTGCTCTGGATGTTATGGTTGTTATTGCTATCTAAAAAGAACTCTAAGGGAATGCCACCCAACAGGTTGGTTAGTCCCGTGGCGGAGCGGGAGCGAGTGTGCGAGCGTGCGCGGGCGGAGCGAGAGGATGCGCGCGACGGGGTGTAAGAGGGTGCCTGCGAGGGTGCCTGCGAGGGAGTGCGAGACGTCGTGCGAGAGATCGTGCGAGAGTGAGTGTGGGAGGAGGACCACGCGCGAGACTGCGTGTGGGAGTAACTACTCTCCCTAAGTTCCTCCTCCTCCTCCTCCATGCTCTCTGACCTCCCCACACTGCCAACTCCCTCCCCCTCATACCCCCCTCCTCCTCCTCCTCCTCCTCCTCCTCCTCCTCTCTCATCTCCTTCACAGCAACTCCCATCGCCACAATCACCAGGTACAGACACACCTACTGCCCCTACCTCCATCCTCTCCTCCTCGTCCCCCATCTCCCCCTCATGCTGCTGTTGCTGCAAGGCGTTCTGTCCACACGGCAGCCCATAGCACCCCACAGACACCGGGTCATCAGAACCAGATGACAGCGCACGTGGAAATGCCACCACAGCACCTCCTCCCTCTCTCTCCCTTTCCGCCAACTCTCCCCGCTCCCCGCCTTCCATAACTCCCCCTCGTCCCCCCTCCCCCTCTCCTCTCTCTCTCTCCCCTTCTGAGAGTCCCTGTCCCTCCCCTCCTCTCCACCCTTCCACCATCTCCACCTCCCCTCCTCCCTCCTCGTCTCTCGCACCCCCCCACTTCTCCTCACTCTCCCCCGCACCTCCCCCACTAGCTCTCTCAAACGACTGGTGGACACTAGACAGCCGCCCTTCACTCTCCCCCCCGAACCCGCCTCCCCCTTGCCCCCCCACTCTCGCCCCGCCAAGCCCATTCACCAGCAGCAGCGGCGCACTCTTCAGCGCCCGCTTCCCCCCCAACCCATCCCTCCCTCCGCCTCCTCCCCCTCGCCCAAACCCGCTCCCTCCCCCTGCAGCCACAGCCACTGCCACCGTCGCAGCACCTCTCTGGTCCCTCTCCTTCTCCTCCCTCTCTGCCCAATACGGGTCATCAGACCCTCGTGTGTACACACCTCTCCCAGCTGACAGCAGCCCTGATAAATGCCTCCGTCCCCCGCTGCTCCCACTGTTCCTCCGCCTTACTCTCCTGCTGCTGCTTCCACTCCCCACTCGCCGCCACAGGTCCACTGCTCTCCCTCCCGTTCCTCCCCCTCCTCCTCCTCCGAACCCCCTTCGCTCTGTCCTTCCTCCCAGCCTATCCCACGCCGGACTAAGAATGAAACCCCTTCCCCCCACCCCACCACCACCACCACCACCACGACCACCACCAGCACCACCACCATCATAACCCCCTCTACCGAGTTCCCCATTGTCTGAATCATCCTCCTCCTCCCCTCCCATTCCCCCCTCGTCCCCCTCATCATCCTCCTCTCCCTCGCCCTCCCCATCCCCCATCCCCACCACCACCTCCCCATCCTCCCCCTCTCCCCGCCCCTCCTCCGATCCCCACTCCCTCTCTCCCCCCTCCCCGCCCTCCTTCCCACGGCCCGTCCTGGACCTCTCCTGCCACACCAGCGCCAAGCCAGCCGGCGTGAGGTTCGGCAGAGCATCGGACTTCTCCGAGCCTCGCAGCACATCCAAATAGTAATCCACAGGGTCGGCCCGATCCGGAAGCAGGAACCCCAAACCTTCAAAATGGCTCTGTACGTTGTCCACGCATCCGTGAAACGCAGTAGCACCAGCAGCAGTGAGCAGAATCGCGTCGTGAAAAGACTGGAACGTCTTGAAGCTCGGCCGAGCCGCAGCTACGGCTACCGCCGCTCCTCTCGACGCTTCCTGCAGCAGCACGCGCACGAGCGTGCGTGTGACCTCTTCACTCAACGTATCAAATGGCTCATCTAGCAGCAGGAGCGACGGCTCTGATACCAATTCAGCGGCCACCAGCACCAGCTGCCTCTGCTCTCCTGTCAACCCCCATCCCGCCACCTGCCACTGCTGCTGCTCCCCCACCCCTCGCACCCCGCCTCTCCCATCCGCTAGCAGATCAACCATATGATCCCCACCCAACCCTTCCTCCCTCTCCCTTGCCCTCCCCACTCCCCCCCACTTCGCACCGACAGCAGCAGCTGCCGCTGCCGCTCCTCCCCCTCCCCACCCTCTCCTGCTGCAACCACCACTATCCCCCATGCCGAAGCCCGACCCAAAGAGAGGCAGGGACGCGGGGGAAGCGGAGGTGCAGGCGGGAGGGGGAGGGGGGCCGAGGAGGCAGTGGCGGCAGGGGTCGAGACCAAGGCCCATGAGCGTTCGCTCTATGATCAGCCGCCTCTCACTCGGCGCCATGCTTGCAGGCAACCTGCAGCAAAAGCGAGAAGTAACAATAGGTGAGGGGGATCAACGGTTGGCCAGCAAAGCAACTACTGAGTGGTGCGGTGTGGTGTGATGTGGTGTGGTGTGGTGTGGTGTGCACGCACTGGCAGTAGAGATGGCGAGCAAAAGGAGTTTTTTTAGACGAGGATTAAGCGACGGGTGGACAGGAGCACAACATACCACAGCACACGTTGGAGCATGTAGGAGAGGAAGAATGAGAAGGAAAAGGAGTCAAAGGAGAGAGGGAGTGGGAGAGTGGGAGTCATGAACGCATGTGGGCGTGCAAGGAGAGGTACTCGTCGACCGTGAGGAAGGGGCATGGGAGCGGCGAGCTTTTGAGGCGCGTCAAAAGAGTGGGGGAGTGGGTGGGAGCACATACCGCATGTGTGCGTGCAAGGAGAGGTACTCGTCGACCGTGAGGAACGGGCAGGGCAGCGGCGAGCCCGCACACACATAGCCTATGAGCGCGCGGTACGACGCCATGGCTGCTGGCGTGCCCTCCACTGCTATGTGCCCTCCCACCACCACACTGCTGCTCTGCTGCCCTGCACACTCAAAGGTCGAGGATAGGAATGGGAAGGGACAGAGATGGGGACACTGCCATGCCATGCCATGCCATGCCATGCATGCTATTGCAAACGTTCTAGCTTGGAAGCCAGCAACCTCCTTCTGGCTGCCTTGCTTTTCCTTCTCCACCACTGCTGCCTCTCACTCTTCCCTTCTCCCCGCACGGCCCCACCCTCTCCCCTTTTCCATCCCCCCCCCACCTGCCGTCACTCTCAGCTGAGAGCACCTGCATCGGGGTGAGTTTTGAGACGTCTCAAAAGCCTGCGTATATCTCACCTGAGAGCACCTGCAGCAGCGCGCTCCTGCCGGCCGTGGGACCCAGCACAGACGTCACTCGCCCCGGGTGCAGCTTCGCATCCACACACGTCACCGCCAGCGGGGCAGCGATGGAGGAATGGCGCGAGGCACGAGCAGCCGCGGAGGGGGCAGATGAGGCGGAGGCAGAGGGGGAAGAGGAGAGGGAGCGGGGGTGGGAAGCGGGCAGGGAGGCGGGCATGGCAATGGAGACGTTGACCAGGTCAACTCGTAGCATGCGCCTCATTTGACCCTGCCGGAATGAGAACGGGGAACAAGGATTGGGGGGAAGGAAGGGAGGAAGAGTGGGGAGGTGGAAGATGAGCGATAGGCGGGTGTAGGAGCCCCAGGGAAGAGAAAGGGGGAGGGAACCATTGCGTTCTGGGAGTCGGGAAGGAGGGGGACCGAAACCGGAAGGACGGGACAGGTGAGCGAGGGCAGGTGAGAACAAGTGAAAGAGGGAACAAGAGAACGGAAAGGAGGGAACGGGTGAGGGATGATGATGTTGTGGGCCAAGCGGCGGGGAATGAGGGACGCAGGAAGCGGGTTGGGGGCGGGGAGGGGTGATATGGTGGAGAGGCAGGGAAATGGGGAATGGGTAAGCAAGCAGAAAGGGAGGATACGATATTGTAGAGCAGGGAGAGCGCAGGGAGAGCAGGGAGAGGAGGGAGAGGAGGGAGAGCAGGGCAAGGTCACCTGCAGCAGTCCACTGGCACCGCAGCTAACTGCCTCGTTAAACAGCTCTTCTAGGGACCCCGGCTCCGCGCCTCCCCCCGCGCCCCGCCGCTTCTCCGCCTCCAGCTGCGCGTACGCGCTCTGCAGGCACGCCACCCGCCTGCCCCGCTCCTCACTCTCCCCCCCCGCGCTCCCCCCTTTCCACCTGCGCCCCTTCCTCGCCCCAGCGCCGTCCCATCCGTCGTCCTCCCCTCCGCTTACCCCCGCGTCCCACCCCACCGCCCGCTTCTCCTCCCCTCCTCCGCCCGGCCCCCCGCCACCCCCTCCCCCTCCGCCTCCAAACCCTCCGTTTCCCCCGCCTCTCCTCCCGCCCCCGCCCCCGTACCTTCCTCCGGCGCCCTCTCCCGCCACTCCGCCGCCGGCGGCGCCCCCCCATCCGCTTCCGCGCGCGCCTGCGCGGAGTTCGTGCGCGGAACTCCCCATCATGTTGTTCTGAAACTCGACCAGGCGGAGAAATTCGTCGGGACTCGGCGCGGACGACGCGGACGCAAAGGCCGCCTCTAATCCGGGAAAGCGGAGAGGGAGGCTGTGCGCGCCTAGCCCTCCCCCGTGCGCCCACGAGCCCTCCTCCGCCTGCTCTCCGCCCTCCGCCTTGTCCCACTCCGCCCCGCTCGATCCTTCCCCCGCATCTCCCCCTACTCCGCCTTCCGCCCCGTGCGCCTGAATGTCCCCCCCGGGGGAGGGGAAGGAAACGGCGGGAGGGGCGGAGGCAAGAGCGTATGGGGGAAAGGTGGCGGGCTGACTAGGGGTGGTGGGAGAGAAAGGGGTTGCGGTGGGGAGGGGGAATGGCGACACCGCTGCTTCAAGGGCTGCCAGGTCAGCTGCTGCTGCTGCTGCTGCTGCTGCTGCACACACAGGGACATGGACAGCTGCAGGGGCAGCGGCGGGAGCAGGTGCAAACGGGTCCAGTAATAACGAGTCCGTACAACCTGCAGCCCCTGCACCCACCACACCCACACCCACACCCACACTCCCATCAGCACCCAATGCCGCCCCAGCGCCCAAGCCTGGGCCAATGAGGACAGGGTTGGGACTCGTTAGCTGATCCAGCCCCCCTGCTAGCACCTCCCTGCCACTCTCCACTGATCCCGGCAACTCCAATCCCCTCACTGGCGCTGCGTCGCCTGTCTCTCCTCTCATGGCCTCTGCACTTTCCGTCCCTGCCGCCCTTTCCGCCCCTTCCGCCCCGCATCCAGCCATATCCACCGCTACCGCCTCCCCTCCGCCCTCCCCCAGCAATCCCCCTTGCATCCCCACCACCACCGTAACCTCCGCACCCCCCGCTCCCCGCTCTCCTCCCCCCTCTCCGCCGCCCCCCGCGATGCCCACGTACGGCCGTTCCCCTTCCTCCGCGCGCTCCCCCTCGTCCGCCTTCCCCGCGCCCGCGTGGCTGGCGCGCGCGGGGAGGGCGGAGTGCGGGGGGTGCGCGCGGTGGACGGGGGGAGTGGAGTGGAGGGACGCGCATGCGGGTTGGCATTCCGTGAAGGAGAAGGAGGTGCGGGAAGACGCGCGCGACTCCAGCAAATCCGGGTGCGACAGCGGCTGGGGGGAGGGGGAAAAGGCGGGCGAGGAAGGGGGAAGAGCGGGAGCGGGAGGGGGAGGGGAAGGGGGTGAGCGGGAAGGGGCGGGGTTTAGAGAGTGGGGGGATGAGGGGGAAGAGTGGTAGGGAGGAGGACGGCGGTGGATAGAGAGAATTGAGATTATGGAAATGGGGAGGGGAGTGGGGACCGTGATGGAAGGAAGGAGGGTGAAGGGATGAGAGGAGAGGAGAGGAGAGGAGAGACGAGGAGAGGAGAGGAGAGGAGAGGAGAGGCGAGGAGAGGAGATGAGAGGAGAGAGGAGAGGAGAGGCGAGGAGAGGAGAGGAGATGAGAGGAGAGGAGATGAGAGGAGAGAGGAGAGGAGAGTAGAGGACGGCATAGCGTGAAGACTGCACGAAACGCAAGATAGGCAGAGAAAGGGCAGGGCAGGGCAGGGCAGAGCAGAGCAGAGCAGAGCAGAGCAGAGCAGAGCAGGGCTCTCACCACGAACGCGTGGTGAACACGGCACCCCAGGAACGCAAGCTTCGCCCCACACACCCTCCTCACAGGCGCTCCAACCAGCGCCACCACCCGCCTCCACCACACTGCACCCACTCCCACCGCACCAGAACCAACTCCCCCCTCACCACCAGCAGAGTCACAACAACCCCTCACCTCCCCGCCTGCCCCTCCCCCGCCTGCACCAATTCTCCCCCAGCCCCTCCCCTCTCCCCAGTCCCCGCACCGCTTCCCCGCGCCCCCCCTGCCCCTGCCCGCCACCCCCCTGCCGTGGAAGCGGGGGGAGGGCAGCAGGCAGTGGGGGGAACGCGCCTCCGCCGCTGCTCTGCGCGCCCGCTCAAGGGGGCGCACGGAGAGGAGGAAGCACGGGGGGAGGAGAAGCGCTAACACCAAGGTCAATATCTGGGGGGGAGAAACGAGAGGGGGCACCCGGGGGAGGGGCGGGAGAAGGGTGGGAGCGGAGATTGAGGAAGGGGAACAGGAGCGATAATCAGGGTGGAAAGTTGGGAGGGGAAAGAGGTTGGGGGAGGTGGTAAACTGAGGGATGCTAACAAGAAAGAATGGTTGGCAGCGGGATGAAGTGAAGTGGGTATGGTGGTGGTGGTGGTGGTGGTGGTGGTGGAGCATGTCACGTGGCAGAGGGACATGGCATGGAATGGAATGGCATGGCATGGCATGTCATGAGACGCAGCTCTTACAGTGAGACAGAGGGTCAGGACGAACTGATCCGGCAACTGCATCTGACTGCCCATGGTGACGCCTGGTGGGGTGCAGAGCGGTGCAGAGAGATGGGAAATAATCCGGTGAATTGCGAAAACAAGACCACAAGAGAAAGTAATGCAAGGATCACTTGAGAGAGGGAGAGAGAGAGAGAGACAGAAATGGACACGAGGAAGGCAGCATTGGGATTTTGCCACCACGACTGAAGAAGGGAGAGAAACGCACAAGCGCCAGAAAAAATAAAAGTAGCAGCAGGAAAGAGGCAAGAAGAGGGAGGAAAGCCATGTGGAAAGGGGAGGCGACAAGCGAAGGAGGCAGGGAATGGAAAGAGGGCTGCAGTGGGGGAGGATGAGGCAGGAGAGAGAGCACCCACGGGTTGGGGCAACGGAGCCAGCTGGACAGATGTGCCTGGTGCAGGCCACGTGCACACATGCCCCACGCAACGTCACATGCAACGTGCCACGTGTACGGTGAGGTGGCGCACAGAGGAGGGGGAGGGAAGGAAGGGGGTTGGTTGGGACGGAAGACAGCAGCGGGAGGAGTGGGGATCAGAGTAGCAGAACGGTTTCTGAAATTCCTCCAGAATTATTAAGAGCAGAATGAGTAGGGAGCAAGTCCTGATGATGATGAGAGGCAGGTCACCACAGAGAAAGTGGTGCTGGTGGGGACGGGGAGATGGGGGGAGAGGGAGGGGGAGGCGGAAGAGGGGGGAAAAAGGGGGCAGAAGCGGGGGGGAGAGAGAGGGGGCGTGTGCGCAAGGGTATGTGCATACGGGAATGTGCGTGCATGCACATGCACTTGATCCACCCATCTTCATCATCCATATGCACATCTTGAACCATCCAACCATCCATGGACGGTGGCACTCACCCGGGCGGGCACGGCTTAATACTGGCCGCATCAGGGCAGAAGTACCCCTCGGGGCACGCCAGCACAGGCAGCCACGACGAGTAGGACGACGCAGCAGCAGCAGCCGCCGCCGCAGCAGAAGACACAGCAGACGAGGAAGCAGAGGACGCAGCAGAGAAGGGGAGCGAGGAGCCGTTGAAGGCGCGCAAGGAGGGGCTGCTCCCCACGGGGTGCGCGGGCACTGCGCCCCACTGGTCCGCTCCCCCGCACAGCGGGCGGCTCATGCGCGTGGTGGAGCGCAGCACTGGCGGGTAGGAGTACCTGGGGGGACGCGCAGGGAGAGAGGGACGGGACAGGAGCGCGGGTGGGAAGACGGAGGCGCTGCTGTTGGTCGGGTCGGAGGGAGGAAGAACGCATGTCAATTGGCAGAGATGCAGCAACGAAAAAACAAAAACGATTTAAAAAAAAAAAAAAAAAAAAAAAAAAAAAAGAGCAGCAAACGAACAAAACAGGGAATGGGTGACGGCAAAAGACATGGGTGCGGGGGTGGTGCAGCAGTGCAGAGCAGAAGCCTCACGGGGTGCAGGAGAAGCCTTGAGGCGTCACCGGCGACGGGCAGAACGACCCCGCGGGACATGCTGGGTGCGCGGAGAGCAGGGGACGCGGAAGGTATGGGGAGAGAGGGATGGGGGCAGGGCAGGGGGGCAAAGCGGGTGGAAGACGTGGAAGAAATAAGACTGAAGGGAGAAATCAGCGACGGTGTATTGATTGTGAGAGACAATCTGCGATTTGCGATCAGCAAGGGCGAACGGGGCTCGGCCAGGCTCTTACGTATCATGCACGCAAGACCCGCGGGGCAGAAGAACCCCGCGCAGCAGGCGGACGGCGGGTCCTCGCGCGGGGGCGCTGGCGGAAGCTCGTGGCGGGCGAGTGCGGCGGACCCGGACTCGTACGCGAAAATCCACGCCAGTGGGGACGAGAACGACCCCGCGGAGGCGGAAGGGGGGACAGCGGGGAACGCGGAGCGCGGGGATTTAGCGGAGGTAGAGTTAAGGGGAGGCGCAGCGATGGGGCTAGCGAAGCCCGGGAGGCATCCTAACAGCGGCGAGGAGCTATTGCAGTTGACGGGGTCTAGCAGGCTATCCTCGATACTCCCGCCCCAGATCCCGCCATCATCGCTTGTTCCTCCGCTGCCGCTGCTGCTGCTGGTAACTAGCTGCGAGGGGACCGTCCCGCCTGTCTGCGCGTTGAGAGATCGCACGAACGCCGCGAGTTCCCCGGACGAGCATACGCGGCGACGCAAGTCGCCTGGCGGAACAGCGGGAGCGGGAGCGGGAGGGGATGGGAGATGGGGGAGCGGCGGGAGAGGAGTGGCGGGGCGTTGAGATGAGTTGAGAGAGGGGAGGAGTTTGCGCGCGAGCATGCGGGAGCAACGTGGGAAGCGAAGGGAGGAGGGAAGGGGCGTGGTTGGTTGGGAAGGAAGTGGGAAATGGGAGAGAGGGAAAGCCGCCATGCCTGCAGCTCACCTCTCTTCTCGCATGCCGCCACCCTCGCGGTGGAATCTGCGGTGCGCACGGGGAAGGTGCGCTGCGCCTCCGCCGATCTGCAACGGATGGACCATGCGCAAGGAGAGCAAGCAACGGAAACGCCGATGGGAAGGGAGGTTGAGGGCGGGAAAAGGAAAGGCGGGGACGGGGAGGAGTGGGGAGGTGGAGGGGGGGAGAAGGGGCGGGAAGGTAGAGCGGGGGGAAGGGGAGGGGGGAAGAGTGTGGCAGAAGAGGAAAAGCAGAAATATTTAAAAATGCCTTTCTCACAGATGCAGGCAAATAAGCTCTTATAAAGCACGGTGGCAATAGAATACTCTAAAAAAGGAGGGGACTGACTCTCCGTTTGCTATCAAGGTTACAGGCTACTAGAGTACTAGGACTGGCAGCTACATGCGACACGAACAAGACAGGCGTCGAAAAGCATCGCGAGGGAGGGGGGGGAAGGGGGGTGCATATCTTTCTTTGCAGCAATTGGCTCAAAATTCATGGGGAGGCGGGGGTGAGGAAGGGAGGGGATGGAGAGATGGGGAAGGGGAGGGGCATCGAGTCAAGAAGAGCGGTGCATACGGGTCGGCGATGCATCCCGGATGGCCGTCAGCAAGGGCCTCCACTAATCGCAATCCCAGAAGCTCTAGCGCGTCCGTTGCTAGTATCCCCTCTGCCGCTGCCGCTGCCGTTGCTGCTGGTGGTGCCGACGCTGCTGCTGATGACGGCGCCGGCCGTGCTACTGCCGCTGCTTCCGCCAGGCCTAGACTCGATGCGGCTCTGGCGCTTATCCCGGCACCTCTTAATGGTTCCCATGAGCTCGGCCCAGTAAATTGCGGGAGCGATGACGAGAGGAGGGCGAGGATGAGGGTGTACGGGAGTAACGCGCTTGGAGCACGACCGTGGCGAAGTGCCATGGCGAAATCGAGCGAAATCTAGCGGGAGGTCGGAGCGCTAGGTGGCGATACTACTCCGGCCATCGCGGTTGGAAACGCAGAGGACGAGAGGGAAGAAGTTTCTGAATGAGTACGGGTTATCTATGCGTTTGAGTTTCGCCCACACTGTCAAAGCACAAGGCAATCTTTGAGATAAGATCTTTAAAACACCATCGGCCTGACCAAAGAGCGATAAAAGCCCAGCCGCTCAGATGCAAACTGTTTTATAAAGCTGACTGGCGCCACGAACGATACCGCTGACGTTCGATGGTTAGTGTGGATTACAGATCACTGAAGCCTATGAAGGACAATATGGAAGAAAGCTCGTGTAGACTAGACGGCTGCTACTGCTCGATTTGCGTTATCCTATAGACGGATCAATGGAACGAGGCGAAGACGGAATCCGCGGAGCAGGTCAGGCAGCTGGACCAGGAGTGGTGAAAATCTCTAGTAGATTAAGCTAGTCCTAGGGGAGATCGGCTCACCCAGCTAGTCCTAGGGGATTCTGCAAGTGAGTGCTCTTGTTGGTTCTGTCCCCTGAACACTCTCGAAAGCAACCTTGCCTCTGACGCGCTAGATGGTGGTGCGGCTGAAGGAGGCTGGATGGTCCCTAACGGTGTAGCGAGGCGCTGGGGACACATGTGGCCTTTGGATGGGTTGGGTATGGTTGGGTAAGGAAAGAAGAGGTGAGTGGGTGGGAAGAGGGGGTGCAACTTTGAGGTTGCGAATATGGTTCTCCTGGGGGTCTGGGGAGGGGGGAGACACACCAGACCACACTAGACTTGGCCCAGGCCAGATAAGAAAGAGCCCCCCGAGCATCTGGCTGATTTGTTGCAGGCACCGGCACCACCACGCGACAGAACAGAAAGAACCAAGCGAACTGCTGCAATTCGCGGTCGGAAGGAGTGTGTATATCGAAACCTTGACTGGTGTCAAACTGCCCTTACTCGTCATTGTCACATCAACAAACTGGGTAACCATCATGGACGGTGGAAACGTCATTAGCATGAAAGAGGAACGGTTTAGATGTCAGATCGACCTCACCTGACCGCACAATTGAAGGCTCCTGACACAAAGCCGTGACGCCTTTGACAGAAATCGGGAATTCGCGCCGCGTTGTGGAGAGGCCACCAGATGAGTGCAACACATCAATTTCTCAGACACGTGCTTTTATCGAGCCCTGCAGACATTTCTTTTGTCAGAGCTGACACTGGAAATACAGATTTTGTCTAGAAAACAGTTCCCTACAGTTTGGTGTTCTGATGTTATGTCTCAGATTTTAAAGCTGTTCAGCTTTCAAAGGTGCAAGTCCAAGGTAAATGATTCTATAATTCATATCAGTCATAAATAATCACATTATATAATTAAAACTGCGATATTTTACATGTAAAACAGCAAACACTTTTTTCTCCCTCAATAAATTGCTCAACTAGCTGTAAAATATAGTGGGCCTTCACATGAATTATATCTCTACTGAGATAAACAGAAATGGAGCACCTGTGTCACGGATTCTGTCAGGATCCTCGTCCACCGTGGCCTTCCTATCCAGGGGGTTGCCCCATCGGCATCGGTCAGGTGCTTCCCGCCAAATCTCCACGTCATGCAATGTCGTCAGACACAGGTTTTCCACCGCCTTCCCGGATCCCGACCAAGTCCCGACTTGTTGACTGTCAGCTTGGAACAGCATCCGTCAGCATCCCATCCAGCTCACTCACAAACAATCAGGATTCAGGAATCTCCATCTCCCAACCAGCCTGGTTGAAATTCACATTTCCAGGCCACAATCCCAACAGGCTTGAATCAATTTTTGACGTATCTTCTTTCCCAGCTATCCTCAGGTCGTTGCTGCTTCGTTCTTGTGCCTGTCACTGAAAATGGCCGCTGTGGCATCCTCATCTGCGTGCGTGGCCACTAAGGTCGTTGCCTCGTCCAGGCTGCAGACTCTCAGTTCCTTCAACACGACTGTTAGCACTTACGGTCTCGTGCCTTCCACCACACGCTCCCTTAAGGCAGCTGGCCGCCGTGCCGTGCAACCGGTTGCTGCGCTGAAGTGGGTTCTGGAGCCCATTGGTACGTTTATAACTTCGTGACCTTTTTATTTCCAGAGTATTGCTGCTCATTGTTTTATCCCAGCGAGTCATGCGCTCTTGATGACCGGAGTACCATCCAGTCGTTTCCTTGAGTTTTGTTTTCTTGTTCACCTCTCCTGCACCACAGGCGATGGAGACACTGCCCACCTTGAGCAGGAGATTGCGAAGCCTGGACCCATTGACGTTGCCGGAGTAAGTCCAGTACATCTGAAAATCCTTGAATGCATGGCCTGTACCGGTTTCTGCTGTGTAACACTTGACGCTCCTTTGTTCTGACAGGATGCTGTGGTGATCGGTCGGATGGCCGAGCGAGCGGATGTCGTCATTCCTGTTCCCACAGGTAGAGCACTGTCACTTTTTCCATTGGTCCCTCCAGCTCAGTGCTTTCGAATGTTTCCACTGTTGCTATGCGGTTAAGACCAAAGCATTGCTGAGTGGCATACCTCAATCATTCTGGTCGCGGGTGCTTGGCGTGCGTTGTCTGTCGCCTCAGTGTCTGGCGTTCATGCACGCCTGGAGAACCGCGGGGACGTCCTTGTGATCACGGACCTCGACAGCACTAACGGAACGTTCGTTGACAATGCGCCGCTGAAGCCCGGAAATACCGCGTCCTTGGCAGTTGGAAGCGTCGTTATCTTTGGTGAGACGTCAGCTCGTGTCTTTGTCTCGTGCGCTCGTTCTCCGTTTGTCTCTGTTACTGGATGGTTCTGATGCGCGGGAACGTGACGTCTTTTGTCCCTGTGCTTCCTGCCATTCCCCTTGCTTGTGCCAGGCGACCAGCACCTCGCGCAATTCAAGGTCACACAAGTGGACGTCCCTGAGCCAGAGGCTGCAGCTTAAATACAGCCAGGCCGTTATATACAGAGTATCATGTGAGGCAATGCGGACATCCAGCTTCTCGTGTAGTCTATCCCAGCATACGAAAAGTAAATGCTGATGCCTTGTTTTTGGTCAATGTAAAGGGACGCGGTTTGTCTGCGTTTTGATAACACACCTCACTTTCGCTCTCGATGGCCAATCCGAAAGAAGTTGATCGCATTAGCCCGTCTCGGGGACGATGGATTCTCGCGGAGGTAAGGCCACACAGTTCCGAGGTGCCAGACCAACGCAATCCTCTCAACCCCACTTACCCTCGCCCTCTTCCATGTCTCTTTGTCTAACCCCCTCCCTCTTTTCCTACCTCTGTTCCTCACCTTCTCTTCCTTTCCCTGCTCGCCTCACCTTGTCCCTCTCTCTCCGTTTCTGAATATTCGCCTCTGTCCGCCCCCCGTGTACCCCTTAGCCATTCCTATCTTTATCCCCGTCTCCATCTCTCTATTCCTCGTCGACTCGCTATCCCCAACTCTTCGGTCTTCTCAACTAACTATCCTCTTCGCTCTTCACCTCTCTATCCCCTTCGCTCTTCACCTCTCTATCCCCTTCGCTCTTCACCTCTCTATTTCCTTCGCTTATCAACTCATGATCCCCGTCGCTTATCAACTCTCTATCCCCTTCGCTCACCAACTCTCTGTCCCTTTCCCTCTTCATATCTCGCTATCCAACTATCTATCTCGTTGCCACTCATCTCTATTCGCCTCGCCCATCTCTATCCTACTCCACATCTATCTCTTTATCTCACCGCCATCCCTTCTTCTCTCGCCATTCGTTTCTCTCTATCTCTTTATCTTCCCCGTCATCCCCGTCACTACTGCTCGCTCTAACCCATCTGTTGACACCCTTCTAGCCATCCCTCGCTCATTCCCATCCTCATCCTTCTCTACCCCCAGCTTGTCCATATATACGGTTCCTCCCATCCCCTCCCCCTCATGTTCACCTTTCACATATTTCACAAATGCACGCCCGCCCAACCCAAACGCTAGACACCATTTGAGGTTTGCATGTGCAAACGCAGACATATCATGCATCAAGCCGAGTAAGCCAAAGAAGAGGTTGTGGAAATTTTCTTGGGGATAGGAGCCTACTGTGACCGTGGAGTACCGTTCCTGTGGAACAAACACATACTGGTACTTCTGCTATTCGGTTCGGATTCGTCACATATGATGTTGGCAGCTTCCACTGACAAATGGACATACGACATTTGGCAAAGTCTTTTAATACATCCAGCACCTCAGAGAAGTACTTATCAATAAGAACAGCACCACCTGTTGAATCTTAGATATTCTTCACTGAAATAAAATATATATTTTTTCACCTTATCATTCCCTTTTACCTATGGCAAGTATCCATCTCTTCAAATTAGATATACCAAGCTGTAACACTCGTACAACAGGCCACTTTTTGTAAGACAAATGCCCACCACAAGCACAAGCATGCCATCAGCTTCTCTAGTTTTACTAGTTATACAGAGGCGATCAGAGAAGTGCTGCGGCAGCATCAATCAGGTCTTGTTTCTCCAACAGCCCACGCACCTCCCCTCCTTTCCCTGTGATGAACCTCTTAAGCTCGCCCACTGACATCTTTTCCAGGTCGGCTCGACTCGTGGGGTTGGGTGCGGGCGGTGGGGGCGGCGTATCACTCTCAGTGCTGCTAGATGCGCCTGTTGGTTGGGAAGGCTCACCAGACCAACTCTGCAGGAAAGGCAGGGCGGGGAGGAAGGAGAAAGGGGAGGGAAGTGAGATGCAGGTGGGGAATCGATAGGAGAGAAACAAACAGCGAAGGGAACCAAGTGAGAACAGGGAGGGGCTATGCAGTAGAGGGAGAGGGGGGGGCGACGGGTGTGCAAAGAGGTGGGGAGACGGAGGGACAGTGGCTCTGGAAAACAAGACAGTGCAAAGGGGTGCAGTGGGGTCCA